CCAATTGAATGGAAATTTGATATTTTTTATATAATAATTTTTTATATTTATATAAAATATATTAAATTTTATATTAAATAAATAAATATCTGCAGTGAAATATAAAAAGTTTTTTTCTAACTCGTTTGCTTTACAAGACACGATTCTTTGTTGTATTAAAATGTCTCTTACTAGTATTCAACTATCATATTCTATCATTAGAGCACACTTTTTTTCTATATATAAATATAAGCCTACATTTTTAATTTTTATATTTAAAAAAATATATATATTTATGCATATTTATTTTATGGTAAATATTCTTTGTTTTTTTTTTATTTCAATTTTAAAAAAAATTAAGGGTATTAATTTCAAATATTTTAATTTATGTTTAAATATTTTTTCAAAAACCTAAAAATCTAATAAAATACAAGCTTAGCTTAATGTTTTTAATTTGATGTAAAAGCAACATTTGTTTAAACATAGTTTCTAAAATCTAAAAAAGTATCTTTGATATATTATAGTCCTATTATTTAGTCCTATTTTATATGAAAATAATTATAAATAATTATAAAAAAATTAATTGAAAATTTTAAGCTTAATAAATGGTTTTTAATTTAATTTTTAAAATCTAAAAATTAAGATTAAAGTCTTAAATTGATACAAGTTTCATCTTTTTTATTGAAATGCAAATTTTAAATTAGTTTAAAAAAAATTGATGAAAATAATTTTTTTATGTGAACTTTCAAAAACACATCAAATTTAAATATATAAATTTTCAAAAAATAATATTTTCACAAAAACAGAGTGAAGAACTAAACCGTCTTCTTTTAGCTCAATTTTACCTAAAGTGTTATCTTAGGTAACACAATGAAAGAAAAGACAAAAAATCAGATTCTTAGATTTTGCTAATTTTGAAGTATATGTGAAGATATAGATAGAAACTATTTTTACATTTTCAAATATATGATTCGATGATAGACGAGATTCAAATGTTGTAGTAAACTCATGTGCATGATGTTCGTCTCTTTGTAATATGGTATAAGTTTTATCATAACTTATTTATACACAAACCATTATTGTCAAAAAAATTATTCTTCAATAATGAAATATTTTAAAAAAAAAAACCAATGATAGCTATAAATATTACTTCAAATATTATATTATGATTTGATCATATTAAATCTAATTAATTTTTTATTAATTTTTCTTATTCAAATTTAGTTTTGATCTCATATTTTTTTAATAATATTTGGAAATTTATTATTATGATTATAAAGATAAAATAATTTTAAAATACATGATGTCAAATTAAAAAATAATTTTTTTAAAAAAAAACTTAAGTTTTATTGAAAATTATAAAATTCCAAGCACATATAATACTTTTATAACACTTATTATTTGTTTTTGATATAAGTGGTGATCGAAATAGAGAGAGTGATGACACTTTGTCCGCCATTCGCGGGGAAATGGGATTGAGAATGTCGTTTAACATACAACTTCTCACATCTCTCTTTATACTTTAAGAGTATACGAGTGACATTAGGTTACTCCACCGTCGACAAATATAATACTTTAATAACACTTGTTATTTATTTTTTATATAAGTGGTGATCGAAGTAGAGAGAATGATGACGCTAGACTTTAAACAATCATTGAAATAAATGTTGGCTTTGGTTGTAAAGTGTTGATTGAAGTTGCATCTATTTGATTTCAATAAAAATTCTGGTAATGAATAAATTAATTTAATATTATTAAAGTGTTAATTTTTTATGATATTTTATGTAGATTAAATTTTATTTTATTTATACATATTTAATTATAAAATTATTAATAATATGAAAATAAGAATTTTGTAATTATATTTCTATAAAAGTTGATAATATAGTATTTTTAATACGAATTATATTTATAATTATATAAAATATAAATAATTTATAGAAATATATAAGATTTATTTTAAAAATTTTATTTATAATGAACTATATAAAAAAATATGTACATTTAGCAATTAATTTGATTTTCAAATTTCAAATTCAATGTATCAAATTTGACATTTGATACATTAAACTCCAAACCTATAAGGTTCAAAGTACAAACCTCTTACGAATGTGGGGCGTTGAGATTCATTGTAACATAATGGATATCACAGTAAAAAGTGGAGATGAATGATCTTGACAGTGTTAGAAGCTCATTTTTCATGAGCTAAATTAAGTGATTGTTTTCCGCGCATTAAAAAAATCTGAGAATCAGTGATGATTGTCAAAGATCAACACGAATCACAACACTCAAACCATGAAAAAGTCAATGCTTTGGAATGAATACTCAACTCATGCTTTATCTTCATTAAGACATGTGCGATAATTTACTGAATATCAATTTAATGCTCATGCTGTAATAAATTGATATTATAGCACATATTATATATTATTATGTATTATATATAAAATAAGTTTATTATTCTATATCTAAATTATCATTAATAAGCTATTTAATATTTATTTTTTATATATCAAATATTTATTTATTATCTTAAATTGATAATATTTTAATTTCAATAAATACTAAATTAGTTATAATTTTATTGATGTGGGTATGATAATTTTCAATACGAAAATAATTTTCAATATGAAAATTGCTTGGATTAATTATCTATTAATTTATTGAATAAATTTAACTAGGTATAATTGCATTATTTTTAGTTAGAGCAATCAGCTTTAACTCTCCTCAATAATCTTAGTTATTTCATTGGATTTAGATTTGAGTAAATATTTGAGTTGTGATCTAAACGTTCATCAAGCCATCTTTCAATTCTAGTGGTCATCTTACTGATAAATATGTTTTGAGATATTCTAGCTAATTCTAATTGTTGGTTTGGTGGACATGAAGCATTCAATTAATTAGCCAGAGCTATATATTTCCTTAGTGTTTTAAACCTACCATGCACATTGTGTGAAATTGTGAAATTTTTTATTCATAATGAAATAAAAATGTTCGTTGCAATTTATTTTCAATTAAAATTATTTTCAAGCATTATTATTATTATTATTTGATAAAGAAAAAGAGTATGAATTAAAATATTTAATATTAATTAAAATATAAAATCATAGTTAATAACATTGTCATTCAATTTGTTCAAGTGTCTTGTAAATTATTGACATTTTCAGACACTTAAATCCATCTGAATCATCATATTGTAAATGTGATGATAATATCGTCATAAACTGAATAACTATTAGTGATGTACTACCAATCATCCCTACAACTATTATTGTATAGTTGTAGTAAAGTAATTTTGTATTATAATTATACTATATCATGATGAATTGTCAATTCACCATATTGACAATTCACAATGAACTCTTGTATGCATGGAAATTGCATTGTTGCAGTTGGTATTTATTAGCAAAATATATAATGAATAAATAAATAAATTTGTAAATAAATAAAACTAGTTTAGTTTTTAAAATTAATGGATAATTGATGAAGTACAGAATAAATAAATTCAATACACTATGAAATATTTGAATTGATTATGTGTTAACATGTCATTATATTTCAGTATTAGTTTTTCCATATTTTTTGAATCCACTTAAAATTTTTTAAAATTTGAATGAAAACTTTATGAATATTATTTCAAAAGCTCTAAGATTATTATAGATAATTTTTTATTTATAATCATTAATTAAAAAAAATAAGCTCAAATCTGCTCATATATTTTGTATCAAAAGGTTCAAAAATCTTCAATTAGAAATTTAATCAATTTATATTAATATAATATTTATTCTGCCTAATTAGAAAAATATTTTTTGGAAGAAAGAAGTTTAAAATTAGAATGAAATTAAGAAATACCGAAAATTAGAAATTAGAAATTAATCTGAAAAATAATTGATACAATTTTTACACATCAAATCAAGATACAACATGTATAACAAGTATAGAATGATACAACAAAAAAATAATAAAAATGATTGAAAAATGTTTATTTAAAACTCAAACATTGTTTTTGAGTTTAGTGTAATTTCAATTGATACGACAAGGGTTAAATTATCATTAAATATGAGAGCTAGTCTTTTAACTATGTGACAAAAATTTAAGAAGTCTGAGTAAAGCATTTTTGTTATCTTTGAGGTAGCCTATGTAGAGGTGAATCTTGTGTGTCGGCTCTTTAAATGTTGTGTGTGTGGGCCACGTAGATTTTGAGTTCTTAGTTTGCAAAAACTGATCAACAAATCTTCTCAAGCAGTTCGAGGTATGATAATTTGTTAGCCTGTTACTGACTTCTTGACAATTTTATGATACGTCCTTAGATCTTAAAAGGTTACACGTAAGGAATTATGAAATTCATACGTGTAACCTTTAAGAGTAATTTACATTCTACAAGAAATTAATTAATTATTTGTGTGATTGCATCATTGAAAATGATAAAAGTGATGAAGATTACTCGGTAATATGTTTTATATTTCAGTCTTTTATCTAACATTTATTTTCAAGTGAAAATTCACTCGACATTTCTCATAATGATCAGTTCATCTACAGATTTAGTAACATACGTACTCATATCCAAGAAAGCATTAGAGTTGCATTCAAATTAGAATTTTGAATCTAAAAATTTGTAAAAGTTATTTTAAAAATATTTTTCGTATCATATACTGATGCATGCTTTGGTCCGGAGCCTTAAACTACAACATATAACACAATCAAAGTGCGTAAGATCTTAATCTTTTCATCTAAATTCCCTCAAGTCACTAACATATAAAAAAATAATCCACATCGATATAAAGTCACTTTCGGTTTGCAGCAAAAATACATCGACATACATTAAGCGATGAAAGCATAGTTTCAACAAATACACGAGAGTGTTTTTACTGGATCATGATCTTTTGTTAAGTTCTCGATGATGCCGTAAAAATAAAATGATTCGGAATCTTATTATGTAGAATGGATGCGCAAGGTATGGAATCGCTCGATGGGCTTGTGACAGGATGGTCGCGTTTTAGAGAAGAAAGCGGGCAGGGGGCAGGGGCAGGTGGTGCAGAACTCGGAGCGTACAGACGAATCCTGGGGACGGGCGCGATTCCGAGCCCAAGAAAAGCTTGCGAGCCACACGTTGCCAGAGAATCGGCCAAGTGGCCCTCAACGCTCGCTTTTGCGCTCCTGTCCCGTCCAGTGCCCGTGCCATGCTCGCGCGCTGCTCGGCGCCCTTCAAGAACCATCTGCCAATCGAAGAAGAAGATGATGATGATGATGATGATGCCTCGATGCGTTGCGGCGGAAGTTGAACATGGAGGCTGCTGCTCCTCGGAATTTGCCGGACCATCAGTGGCTCGTGACGATGCGGCACCCGCTCTTGCGTTAATCCGCTCGTTCCTCGCCTCCTAATTTTGGGCAACTACTTTTCTAATTCGGGTCCGATTCCGACATGAATTCACACCAGCGTCGGATCCGAACCGGGTCTGCGAGTGTCTTGAGTTTGAATGAATGAGTGAATGAGGGATTGGATGCCGGGGTTTTGTTAGTTTTTGGGGGTTTAGTTTTGTTAGTTTTTCTCGGCGCGGCAACGAAACATCGGCAATTCTTGAGAGTTCTGGTAGTTAGTTCCGGACATGAGGTTGTGGCGGTTTACAATGTAGGTTGAGGTTCGGTTGCCTCTCCCAGCACGGAGCTTCATGGCGGCGATGACAGTGGAATTTGCACTGAATCCAGCAAAATCCGCAGCGAGTTGGAGCTTCGGACGAAGTAGGGTGGAAGGGCGTAATGTGTGTCGGCTGACGGGGACGGAGAGAGTAGCGTTTGCGAGTGTTGCCTGCAAGGATGGTGGGAAGGGCAAACGTCGACTTTTGTGGGTTGCTTGTGCCGACCCGTCGGGCTCGTCTTCGTCGCAGCCCAAGTGAGTGTCATAACTTCGTACATTGGCCTCTAGCAGGACGCCTTATCAGCTCGAAATTATACGCCGTAGTGAAAAAAATTTGTTTGAATGATGGAATTTAGAATGTGTTAGTTTCTTTAGTCTGATCCGTGACCCATATGTGCTGGTCTGCGTCGTGGTTGAGATTCACGCGTCGAGAGCTTGGCTGATGTGAACTTGGAACTTATTCATGGAGTGTTGTTTTTTTTCTCAGACCTCGGAAAGCAAGAAGTAAATGTGAGGGTCCCACAAAGAATGACTTGAAGTTGGTGAAAGATCTCAAAGAGTTCATGTGCGCTTGTGATCTCCCCCCCACGGAGGTTCCGACCACCAAAGATCTCATACGCAATGGCAGGTGGGCGTCCTTCGGCTCTCTGGCCTCATTCAGTAAGTCTTCGATTCAGGTTTTCTTATGCATCTCATATTTGGTCCTTGTGATCTGACTTTGGTCGCCCACAATTCTCAGTCGCTCTGTCATTCAATTTGTTGCTGTAGTTTGCAGTTGCGAGTGAATCCAAGCAGAGTACTATACCTCAAACATGTTTTAGAGTATACACCTCCTCTTCAAATCTCTAAATCTGCCAGTTTGATTGCGGGAGTCCCGATAACATCATTATGTTTCACTGTGTTTATTGTTTATTTACGTCCACTGTGAGACTGTGTTCATGTATCACTCCTTCATCGACGTAGCCTTTTTCGTTCCATATCTCTGCTTGTCTGGTCCTTGTAGTTCTGTTTAAGTTTTACTTTTGTCTTAATTTTTTTCTTTCTGAAAATAACGAGAATAAGTTGGTCTGGACATTTTGAAGAAAAGTTCCGGAACTTGGAGTGACATGTCTTAGTATGCACTCGAGGCTTATCAGTAGGCGAAACAGCACGGAGACGCAGGAAGATCCCAGATAGATCAAGCTTATATGTTTCATGTTAGTGAACATGGCCATGGTCGTTCTACTATCATACGTTCACTAAGCCTAGTGACAACTTAGGTTAGGAGAATGGGCACATGCCTTTCAAGTTTTCCGAACTTAGAAGCCACTGTTCCTTTGCTCTCAGTGAATTTTTTTTATGCTTGACTAATCTGAAACCTCGCGAATATGCTTGTAATCACTAATCCAATTTTCATCTGCAGGCAGGATCTCGCTAATGCAGTTAGACGGAGGGGCTACAAGGTTGTGGCGCATCTTTTGGGACTTGCTCCCGGACCAGAAGCTGCTCATAGCACCTCTACAGATGAAGCTAAAGAATCTACAGCCATTTCAACGACGAGAGACAGTAGCGTAAATGGTGCGGCGGGAAACTTTTCAGCAGAGTCTCACCAGGCATCTCGCAAAGGAGACAACGAAACCGGTTGCGTAACAGTTTCTAATAGTGAAGCCGAAAGCTTGAGTCCTGGGAGATCTGTAAGTGAAGGTGAGAGCTTGAATGAAGCTGTCTCCTTATCTGAAGGTACTCTTAGAGAGAGTTTGGCTAGCTCACCAACGCTTGTGCCGGAGATTCTCAACACAGAAACTCAGAAGCAGGAGTCAGTGGGACAAACTTCTTTAGGAGTGAAAGCGGACTACATCCAAGAACGTCAGTTGAATATTATCAAAGGTAAGTACATTATGCTGCGTGTTGAGTGCTGTAATACGATTCATTCATACATACCAAAGCCACAAAGTGTGAGCTCTCCTGCTCATAAGTTGCAGATATGCTCCAGCAGTCTTCTGAGGTCTGATCTCCAAGTATAAAAGAAGTAAAGCTTATAGGGTACAAAATAGTAAAAGTCAAATGACGTTTTATATGTGGTTTACGTAGGACTAGGGTTTTGTTCCTTTTGTTTGATTTTGCGCTGTATTAATATATATATCGTGCAGGTGCAAGCCAAACCTTGGATCTTTTGCAGAAACTAAATTCTGGTTCAAAAAGTGAAGATGGCGTTGATGGTAATGAGTCTGAGAGCGATTACTCTGACGATGAGTATGAAGATGATGAAGAAGACGACAAGGATAGCATCATAGGAGTGCCAGTGCCCGGACCTGGCTCTAGCTTTGAGTCACCTGAGGAATTTGCCGCTACCAAGGCTGCTCTCTTGAAATCTAGGATACTTGAGTACTTTGATAGTCGGTGGGTTCTTGTCCATGAACGGCACAACTTTGCGAAGTTTTGTGATTATTGTGACCATTTTGTGTTTCCCGTTTCTAGAATGACAAATTTACGACTCACTAGTGATTGTATGTCAGTGTTTCTGTTTTAAGTATCTTCTGCACACAATGTTTGAGTGTGTTACGAAGTACTAGTGTTGGTCTGCAGTAAAGAAGATCAAGTGAAGCCAGAATCAATCCAAGATGCTAGGACCACGGAGCAATTGGCCATGGAGCAAGTCAATAATGTTCTCGAGGTACAAGCGGTCATTCCATTCGATCTTGTCTTCACACCAAAATTTTTAACGCCACTGAATGAATGTGTTTCTGCAGTTTGCAAAGCCTTATCAAAGTTGTGAGGATATCAGTAAGACATTTTTCGGTACTTCAGTCTCGAGTAAATCTATCAGTGCATCCAGTTTAAACTTTCTCCAGTTCCTTCTGCTTGCTTGAAGTCCGACGTATTTTATTTTTTCCTATTGTGCTTGATAGGTTAGCCTATAATGGTGGAATGGGGGCACTTGGGTCTGAACTGCTCTTTTGTTCACATCATATATGACAAATCTTGTGGTTGTGTGATGCACAGAGAGACACCGAATTAGAAAACAATCAAAAGTTAGAGGTTGAGAAGGAGTTAGAACGCTTCAGAGACTTGCTGGTCAGTTCACACTACACTTTGAGGATTAGAATTGGTGTTCTTTAAAAGTTTTGAGGCGCTTGTCGTTGTTTTGTTTTTATTGATGTATAGGAGGCTGCTTGATTAGCGATTGCTGCCCTGATGTATTCAATCAATGTCTCCAGCATGCAAGGGAGTTAGTTCTTTCCGAGGTTACACAGGAGCTGGAGGAAGCTAAGGTACTCTCATAATCCCAAGAGGTCTATCCACAGGCGTCAAACGCGTCGGGAATAACTCTAAAATTTAACGAACCTTGAGTGCGCTTGTTATGAAGATAGTCTGTGAGTAACATTCTTCTTCTGTGCGTGAAATGTGTTTCTACGCCCATGAATAATTCTTATTAAGGTTTTAAGGAATATCCCAATTTCACCGCAGGCTCAATTTTCTCTAGCCCGAGCAAAGGCAACTGCAGAGCTGGTCCACGCCACACAACTTGCCGTTGAAAGGGAAGCTCGATTGCAGCAAGCAGAACAAACCCTGGCAAGTTTGAGACAGGTGAGAGTCTCTGAATCCTTTGTCAATACATTCCAGTATAATGGGTGTGATGTCCACGTCATGGAGTCACTATCTAAGCCTAGCTTCAGCGACGTATAGTTGCGCCTCTCTTTACTCGAGATATTTTTTAAATTTGTTGGGAGTATAAATGGAATATGATCGTGTTTCGAATGAAGGTTGCTGGTTATCATGGCAAGTTTGAGTTTATGCCTCTTGATATGGGTTGTTAGATTTCAGTGTGTTGACCTGTTCTTTTGTAATTGGAGCTTGTGGTGTTTCTGCTCTATTCTGTTTCTGATTAGAGAGGCTCATATGTTCTAAGACGTGGGACTAAAACCTCCTCTATAGGTACACTTGGAATGGTGGGGCGAAGCCGGACAGGTGGAAGTCGCCGGAACCTTCAATGGATGGCAACATCGGATACTCATGGAACCTGATCCCTCGTCCGAAATTCCTAAAGCAGACGGCTCAAGGTTGGTTAGAAATTGCATTCACCCTATAATCTTGCTTGTCTGGCTCACGTGATCATCACCTTGTGGTTTGACAACTATCGACACTTGCATGAGCCCGCTTGAGATTTGAATGGGAAATAGACTGGTTGTGTGTGTTAGACATTGAATTTTACGTTTTTGTAAAATATAAATATGAATAATTTGTGCTGCATTAGCAGAGTTGTCTTCTTGAGATAAAGATAAATACGTGAAGGGCAAAAAAGATAAGTCTGAGGAAGAAAGAGCCACTTCTTGAATTCGAGTAAATGAAATACGGAAATTCTTTATGCAATCTGCCCGGCTTACGGGCGAATTGCCAGACTTGTCGTCAGACTTGGCCTTAGATCCAACGTTGGTTAGCTGATTTGACACATCAAAAATGAAAATTCAACATCAAGTGTAAAAATTAGCTTTGTTTACAAATCATAGTTCAATTTTGCTATATTGCTAATTGAACATTGTTTTTTATTTATTGATATGTAATTTTTTCTTAAACAATAAATATTTCTTATTTATAAACTAGTGCTTGGGATATGGAACATTTCGAGACAAGTGATAACAACCTAACACCACCACCTGTTTCTTTTGTGTATGTGCTTCAGGGGTCCCATGATGTGGGGAACGCATCTCTGTCTTTACCCAGGAATATATGAGGTAAATAAATCTAAGCATTTTGTTGATCTTATTAACTTCAAAGGGATGTAGACCTATCACAAAAATGTTTTGGTTGTGGTAAGTTTGCATGTGATTTGGTCGGTCTAGTCTAACATGCTTTTTGCCGGCGACATTTATACCAAGCTGGAAAGATCTGTACCCAGTATTTTGCTTTCCTTGCGTCTTCTTGAGCTTTGTTTAGGAATTGTTCGCAATTCAGACACCATATTCGGGTATTGTTTTCTAGCCAAAGTTTTGAATTCGAAATTCACAACTGCTCTGATATTTATTTGCCTATATCATGTTTCCCTCACCTATTCTTTCAACCTTCCTGCAGATCAAGTTTATCGTAGATGGGAACTGGCAGTTGGACCACAGGAGAGAGGTCGTAATGCGGCACGGCAATCAAAATAACGTTTTGAGAGTGGAATAAAATTCACTAATTTAGAGCTTCTGAACCGTGTGATTTAGGGGCACACATGGTCAAGAGCGATAAGATTTTGACATTTCTAACCTAGACAACTGTGTCTGACGGGCATTGTAATCTTAGCGCCTTTGAAAGTTATGGTGCGATTGAGTCAAATATGAAGTATAGCTCAGCTCGGTGTATAATGGTTCATATTCCTTGATCGAAGGAACATTTTCCGATTGTAATGTTCTCACTTTTAGTGCTTCCATCACGTTTTCCGACTTCATCACGGCTCTGACTGGTACAAGTAAAAGGAACGGCCAGCTTTGTGAAGACTTCATCTGAAACGTATGTATTGGGCCAAGTTATCAATTCAAGTTAGTCCATAAGTGAGTCGCTCACCAAAGTTCGTGAAGATCGAAGACAAAAAGTTCCTGCAGTCTCACTGGTGATCTATCTTACTTGCTGTCACCAATTTGCACGTAAATGTATCACAAGGAAGTATGAAATGATTGTTCGATTGGATACAGTTGTTATTCAAGCCAAATCGGACTCGCAGATATTCTGTATCACAAACGCATTAAGTTTAGGATTGCTTCGAAAGTATGGTATAGCGTGGACGGCAGCTTCCAACTTGAAATGAATCAGGACATCAGAGAAGAATTCCCGGTAGACTTTAAAGAGTTTAAGCAGAAAGCTACATATTGCCGATGCAAGCTTTAACTGTCCCTACTTCAGCCCTGTCTGAGCAAGTTGCTGAGGCTAAAGTCATTTTTTCTGCTTAAGAACCCTTCTGCTGGGGCTGTGGACTTCGTGGACAGCTTTTTGGGACAGTACAAATGTTTACAATCTAGTTTGCAGGAGTTAAGGCTTCCTACTGATCCCACCTACCCTCAGTGTCATCAGTAGTGGGATGTAGTGGAATCGTGAGAAAGCCAAGAAGATGAAAGCATTAACAGGAGTTTGAGAATGTAGTCCCTGCAACTCTACAAATCATAAATCTGGTTATATGTAAATGTATACGCTCAATCTTCATACGAGGGAGATCCATTCTTTGTAGACGGGACATTGTACATTGTTTTATATTCGTATTTTTGCAAAGAAAAAAACTAAAATTTTGGAACTTTTTTTACAAACCTTTTTAACAGAATATTGTCATGTGTAATTTTCAACCTGTGATTTGGAATAGATTGAAGGTTCTTTACATGAATATATATTTAAACTTACTCAAACTTCCTGGAGTCTCGTATGTCAAGTTTTCTGAGGTAATTTAACAAATCATATTAATGATACGACAACTGAGTTATATAGCGCGACTGATCAATATTTTACTTTTGCTTTCAATTCTTCAAAATATTGTTAAATGAATAACCACGAACATGTTAAAATGAATGAAGAGAAAGAATATCCACAACCACCATAAATTAAATTGCACCGGAGCAGTAGAAAATCATTACAACTTTTTAAGAGGGAAGCTGGTAACTGGAACATGAAAAAAAGAGTACGCAAAGCACTCGTCGTCCTACTTCCTGCTTTAGCTTTAAACCCCTCTCCTATATTGTAGAATCAAGAGGCCCAGAACAACATACAGAAGAAAAGGGAAAAGTGAAAGGAGTTTCATCAAAAGAATGAAAAAGTGAGACAGCAATGAACAAACCAGAAAAAGATGAAGAAGGGAAAAAAAAACCGCGAGCATAAGTGCAAGGGAAGGAGGAGAGAGGTCCAGACTCCAGATCTTAAACAGAGTTTTACTGGAATAATGGATGCCAGAAGATTCCGGCGATGGCATCCAGCTCAGACATTGAAGGTGTGTACAACTACCAGCGAGTGATGTCACGAAGGAAGGAAGGAAGAGAAAGCAGCCTCTGCCACTGTCACTGCGGACCCACCCACACGAGACCTCCAACTTGTCATTACAAATGACATCAACGTGCCCTGGAATGTGCTCCTTCCGCCTGCTGGAGCTCTGAAGGGGAGCCACTTCTGCCCCGCTCTGCTGCTGCTCATTTCGTGTACGCTTTCCTCGAGATCGATCCATCTGCACGCCTGATCCGCTGCTGCACGAGACTACATTTCCTTGTCGTCGACGATGGGATGCACTCCAACGACTCCACTTGCAGGGCCTTTACTTTTGGGTTCATTCTCAGCTTCTGTCGGTCAATCGTCTGCAAAAGGAGATCCGGTCTCGCCTCTTTCTTACTGTTCCCCATTTTTCACTACCCAAGAATCCGGTCCCTGTACTCTGCATGTCACCCGGAAAGAAGTTCCTTTTTGCACTCCGTTATGTCGATGCTTTATCTTCTGGAATATGATCCTCTCTGATCGTTATCTCTTCGCTTTACACTGTCCCCAAATCCTTCAAGTCTCTTCTTCGGTCATCCACCACATGAGTGAGAAGGTAAATGTAACTCGGTGCTCAGTCGACGGTGGTTTTGCCTTGTTAGGAACTTGAAAGTCCTTCACTCTGGAATTCAGTTTATGGTCGACAGATTAACTTGTCCTCGCTCAGCCTTAGAGTGCACTCCAAGTCTCTGTTGAAGTGCTCACAATGGCGACACATTCCACTCACTTCCATTTCCCACGTGAAACTTCGACGATATCTTTCATCTAGATTCACCGTCGCTAAAACCTCCATGTCCAAATATCCCACGTTCAGTCAAACTTCTTGAACACATGAGCAGCATCGGATGTGATATCTATGAATCTTTTGCACATGGTTTGGGATGATCTCGTCGTGATTGAAGACCAGCTGACCAACTGTAGGGAATATACACTACCATCGTCAAGGACACGATGATGTGACACGTGAGATTCGATGGCTGAGGAAAACATTGCCTTGCCGTTAATGAAGCGGTCAAGAGGTTGAGATTCTCATGATCGAGTTACTTTGAAGGCCTCGTTGCCTTCGATACCGGCGGACATGGAAAGACAAGCTCCAGTAAAAAGCCGGTCGATCTTATCTAACGGTTTGTTACTGGATCAAACAACTCACTTTGAACCTCGTTAGCTTGTACACAAGCATGTTCAGCTCACGTGGACGTGACCCTTGCCAAAAAGAGTGAAACACATACGTACTTGGAATTGAGCGCTTAATAAGTCAATTCTATTTATTCATGTCTCTCGCCAACCAGCCTTACAAGAGGCCAAGAAGATTCCTTCCTCGACCCGCGTTAAGTACTCTGTACCATCTGCTCCTGGCCTTGTAAATGTTCACAATCGCTGAGTCTGCAGGATCTTCGAACAGGTAATTCAGGTAGTGTAGGATCAGCCGGTGGAACAACCTTGGGTTTGTGAATCAAATATTTTGGAAGTACAAGGAGGACTTGCTTGTTACCTTCCAAATCAAATAGTGGCAGTTTTGTGATTAACGGAATTCGTCCATTCGGTTGGAGCCGACAGAGGACCGAGGACAACGATTGTGGGTACAGAAGTAATGGTGGTATATTATGGCTTCCCTATAAACCGTCCCTCCTTCGTACTGGCTCAAAAAGCCGAGCTTCTAGCTGATATCGCGATGACTAGGGCAGATCAGAACCGTCTCTCATAATTAACTGTGGGTTATTGGGCCTCCAATTCCTTAAGTTCTCCCGGCAGTAATTAAGTCTCAGAAACGGGCACATTCCCCTATTGTATCAGTGGCACAAGGCTAGCTTTTGTGCAGTCTTCAGATCCTAATGAATGATATACACATCGGATGTCTGTAGATAAATGAAACACTTTTTGTTACTGCGGAATGAGAGTATTGTCGTTTTGGCACATGCAGTCAGGGATTGGATATCTGAATACCGAGTATTTTGGCTTTCTCAGGGTAGCTGCACCAAGTCTATCCGAATGTGATTCTCTTACTTGTTTAGAGAACTCGCTCCAGGTAACATTTGAGGTGAGCAGATTCGCCAAGGTTGCCTTGTCTGGATGTATAGACTTCCTGAAATCGAAGAAGGTTCGATGGCCAGTCTGCAGACACAATCTCTAACAACTTTTTAGTACCATGCTTTGATCAGAGGGCCATCTTCGAGAGAGGTGGAAGGAAAATACTAATTGATTGTCATAATCCGAAAACCAGCTTGGTAATAGAAGTATCCTTACTGGAAGAGATCCATTATACGCACCAGGACATTAGGGAAGTTTCCAGCAGCAGTTGACATGTACACGTCGCTTTTTTGCAAGACGAGGAAGTCAAGAGCAGCTAGTTGGAGCCCATGAGTTTTGAGAGGTCTCAGCTCTTCCTCAGCAGCCAAACTCTCCTTAGTTTCAAGTAAAGGAAAGAGATCTCGCAAAGGTTTCAGCCTCGCCTCTCCACCATACACAGACTGGAAGCATCAAACAAGAACTTTTTATTAGTATCAAGTTGCATCGTAATGGCAAAAGAGCTCACTCTTCCCACCAGATAATTTCGGCTTAGTTTGATCACCAGCCAACCTTATCTACAGCTTATCAGGAGGGTTTCAAGCTTGATCAGAGGCGCACACATGAATATATTCGATGTAGGTCCCCCTCGAAAAGTATAAGAGATATCACCTCTTCTAAGAGTGGAAAACAAAAATTCCAAACAAAATTTCGTACCTCTCCGGCCATGTATATGATTGTGCTGTTATCGTATCCAAGACCTGCTAGTAGAAGGCCTGCCTCTTCGGGTGAAAGAGGACAGCTTCCATTCATGCGAAGGTAAGTGGAATGGAACTGAGCCTTCTCTGCCCTATTCCTGCATTTCACCAGTGAATGAACTTGATGTTAATAACTTCCTACTGTGTATCTACTACGGTAAGATTATTGTCAAGAGTACTATAGTGTCGATACGTCTTCGTTATCACATCATCTCAGGACTGAAACACTTACTGAAATAGAGATCTGCGATATGCAGAGAGTGCTTTTCGCTCTGCCGTGCCTCCGTCGTAGTAGCACGCTGAATGTGAAATCATGTCTTTTTCAAACCGTAAATGGAGTCCAAGGAATCTTCCAGCATTTGGCATCTTCGATGCACTCTTATTTGCCAGCAACCTCCTCTTATGATGATGTGACACTCCCTTCTTCTTTTGCGCTGGCTTCTGGCTGGGCTCAACAGATGAGGACCGGGAAGCAGTTGTTGCGTCAACGATTGCCTTCGTCAAGGCTGCTAGTTTCGCTTTAGCTCTGATTCGTTCAACAAGCTTCTCGCTCAGCTCACGTAGAGAAGGAACAAATCTCAAAGCAATGAAGTTTGTAAAGCAACGAAGCTTGACAACTTCCAGAGGCAAGTCGTCGAATGTAAGTTTATGGTGATACTTCCGGGTGGCTGCAAGACCATAACTGCAATTTAAGACAAGTTAATAGTGAACCTCCAGGAAAGCTTCAAATGATAAAATTTTGGCTGATATCATTGCATTTGCCTCCACTCCTCAAGGTCTGCAGCCTGAAGATCAGTAACTTCAACAGGTAAATGCATCAACATTTAAGTAGCTCCAAGGGTAACGGAACGAGTTTCAGGTTGAGAACAGCACGCGAGATAGCTTTCATCATTAAGCAAAATTCTGTGAAGAATTCACCAGTTGCTGTTAGCGATCAAGCTAGAACTGTTTGAGAGTGAGGATCACCTTTGCATAACTGGCAACACGTTTTCCAAGTACCATTCCTGATTGGAGTGTTTGGGGATATAAGTTATGCACGTGGGTCGCTTCTCGCATTTGTCATTGTACTCTGGCGTGCTCCAGTCCAGATCCACCGGTAGATCTCTGACCACTGGCAAGTACTCTTTTAAGGAGAAAATGAAGTGATCGATGTCGTAGATGTCATGAAATTTGCTAGCAACAGAAAAAGGTAATATTATCAATATTCAAATTACGAAAACCAGCAAAGATGAAAACGTAGAGGTTCTATGAAATTACTTTCAAGACACTGTGGAAGTGATTCTTCTGATCCCAAACAACTGGTTCTCTCTGTCGTTTGGAAATGCTTGAAGAGCAACTTAACTCATTTTAATGATGGGCAGTAATATGTACACATGTTTGACATTCTCGATATGTTCTATAAGTTGGTTTCGATACTAACAAACCTGGAATCGTTCCAAACGCCACTATCTCGAAAATAAGGAACCACTAGAGTTGCATTCAACATCTTCGCCACTGCAACGGCGTTGGTAACCTGACATTAAGTGACACCCATCCTCAGTACATACAGTAATTCGAGTTGGTTGTCATCATTGAGATGTTGGTTTATATATATCAAGACGTCATGTACATGAAAAACCCAAGAATTATATCGACAATCTTTAGTCTTGAAACTATTGATTATGCAGTTGCTTATTTAAGAAAGTCATACGGGTACATAAGTTCAATGCGCAAATGCTCACACATATATGCAGCTGGAAAAGACCACCCGTGCAGAAGACCTGGAAATATCCATTATTTGTAGGTGCTGCATCATTCCGAACAGAAAATCCACGACCAAAGTCACGTTCAATTTAAAATAGATGCTTGGAATTCACATGCATACATGAACATAAGCTGAATTTGATGCATGGGAAAGCCATGACTAAAGAGTCTAGGCAAGTTGATTACCTTTTTGGACTACCTGGGGCTTCACACAAGGTTTCCATCCCTGACTACCTGGTGAGTTCCACAACTCATCTGCATAAGTAGTATTCTCACCACCCTGAACGACCGTAACGACAAGCATCAAGAACAGCGGCACCAGTCCATCTGACCTCTACACACTTGCATGTCAAATTAGTGCTTTCGAATAATGAATGCCTGCAGACAATTAACAGCATAACCTAGTAACTTCAAATTGCATGGACAATTATAGGATATTATCGTCCTTTCTTCCATCAAGCGACTGAAAAATTGCATGAACCAGATAAAATCTGAAAAAAAATCATTTAAATAGACAGAATGTTCCGAGACAAACCTTGGATATATGAAGTTCTCTGCTATGAAACAGACTCTCGTGTATCCGTCTCGGCGGATAGTATTCCTATTAAAAAAATCGGCTCCGACAATGTTAGAAGACATCGATTGTAGTGATAGCAACTGACATGAATGCGAGTTGCATCCGCTAATCGCTGCACAGTTGCAACAAAGAAGGCTTGTGCACAGCATGCATGACTCCTACAATCTAATTGCGGTCTCGAAAAACTTGCAGCTGCTAGAGTGAGTGAATTGTTGGAACAGAAATTTAAACTTACAGACAGCAGACGAGCATTTCCGAAAAACGCTGCAGTTGTGGCGAGAGCGGCATCGCCGGTTCCCGTGTCGTAGCCCAGCCAAGATACAAATGCCCAGCCCAGAAAAAGCCCAACGGCCGTCCTGCTGCGCTGGGCAGCAGAAGGTGCAGTCGCCTCCATGTCCTTCTCATCCTCGAACGAATGTTGGCGCTTCAGCTTCATACTTCTCAGTCGATTCATTAGCGACATTTTCACCCCCACGCTCTCGCAGGCCTTCTTCACCTGCATACCGACGATCCCCGACTCATACAACGCCCCGCCTCACCACCACAACTACGAACGAAGTACAGAACAATATTCACTCGTTCTAGCCGTCGAGTTTAATTGTTAATCCGGACCCTCTTACGATTTCCACAATCTATGTGTCAATCTCACTTGTCATCGGCAGAGCCAGGATATCAAAATTCCGTCAGTCTGATATTAAGAAGGCGAGGCAAGGGCAGTGACAAGTGGAAAAGTCCGTCAAGAAGTCCAGTCATCACATTCTCGATCCACCATGAGCACCACTAATACGAAGTCCGAGAGTGTCACCGATCGATGAATCATCGTCGTCCATCTACGGTTGCACAAATATCCATTACTAAGTTCTTCTGCTGCCTTCTGGTATGGATCGCCAAAGCACAACGGAGACGCCATCACTCATATCCGCTTAAACCCCAACTAAACCCCTTAACCCCTCCTTCCTTCCCTCTCTTGCCTTGCCTTGCCTTGCCTTGCCCGCTGCTCAGCGCTGTCACTTTCAAGTACTCGATCGTGTACGTCACAACTACTCTCTGAAATCTCTGATCACATCACCGTACCCATCACTTCACTTCAATTCTCTTCGACTGTTTTCTGAGCCTCAATTGGGCTGCCTCTCATGCACCGTGTGACATGAAAATCGATTGATTGTTGTCTCGTACAATTTTAGGAGCAGTACCCTCTATGTCAGACACAAGTTCAAACTACTACAGTCAGCCTAAGTCCAAGTTCCAGTGCTGACTCCCGTCCCGTCACACAACTCAAATTCATTCAATCATTCCAGTACAGTACAGTCCATATTACACTACAGTACTGTACGTTTGCAGAATCAAGGTTCTAAAGCGGCCAACTAACCACGAATCTGCTGTGCACTGCGACGGTATCACTCGGCTAGAAAGTACAGACACGCACCTGAATTTCATGTGACTTGAAATGAACTGATCTGAACTGAGTCAGCCGAGAAGAGAAGGGGCTATGGAGGTCTTGAACAAAGAATAATTAATATTGATCTTTGGTGGGGATAACTCTTCTTTCCTCTGTTTCAATGGATAATAATTAGACTGGAAGAAGCACAACTCACACTTCCGACTTCTTCTTTGACCACTCACTCACGGACTTCCCAACCCTTCTTGGAGCAAGCACACTTTTCATCGACGAAGTGGCTTCGATCTTCCTCAATGAAAAGTTTTATCTTCTTCCTTTTCCAGTATATTCATCTTAAATGCATAATCCTGTCCTCATACCGCTCGATCTTTCGGACGTGATCTCATACCAGAGACTCACACTTTCACTTTACTTGATGAAACGAATTTAGAAAGAGGACGGTGACAGAGTATCCAAGATTTTCAAGATTACTTTTTCAATGATTTACGACGACAATTGTCGGAAACGGGCCTCATCGATGTCATTCGACAGTCTTCATGGTCCTCGTCGAAAGGTTAGACCGCCTAGGATTTAATGCCCACCTGAACGGAATTCCGACTTCCATGCGCAGCAAGGAGGCGGTCTGCCGCGTGCCTCCAAAGTGTTTCCCGGAAGATGGGGGCCATAATTAGCGACTGATTACGACGCTATCAATTAGAACCGACTTTTGGAGTCACGGGAAAATCCACCATTACGGTACTACAGGATTCCAAGACAAAACTTCTTGTCTCAAAACCTCACACTCGCTTCCAACCAATCAATCAACCAACTCCCATACTATACAGTAGGAAACAACCACACAATCTAAAATCCGCTTCAAACCTCGACTTCTTTAACCTTTACAAACAATCTCTACAACGCAGAGAGGGAAAAACACACATCTCGCTACGACAATGCTGAAAAATTGCGATTCCTCTCAGATTCGTGCTATTCAATCGCGTAGCATCCAAGCGCACCCGAGATCGATACTTTCATGGCGGCCACCGATTCTTGGGAGGTATCTTTGCAAGTCATGGCTTGTCATCCGGAGGCTCGGGGTAGAGTTAACGCCCCGAGAGGGCGCAGGGTTTAGGACGTTGGCCAGTCTGTAACTCCTGCCTCCGGACCCGGAATCAAGATTCTCGACGTCGAACGTTGGACTCGGCGGACTGGCCAAGGCGCGGATCACTGTGCCGACGCTGCTGGTGCGGAAGTGGCGGGAAACTCCCGCCCTTTGGACATGATTCACAAATCATTCCTCTCGCGGAATATTCTCTTCGCATCTGCAGCGCGTCCCCCAGCCGCGCCACTTGCCGGCGCCGTGTTTTTACACGCGTCGCCGTTTCGAGAAGCCGTCCAAGAGAGAGCTCCCACACGCCCTTTTCGCCGAGGCCCCGAGCCCTCCCGTCGTTCCCCACAAGGCGCTCATGCGCAGGAACAGGTTCGACGCCTTGTTTTCTTTTCCATCCTTTATAATATTCTTATCGTTCCTATTTCGCAACATGCCATTGAGTATGCCGTGCTTGACAAATTGTAAATCTGAATGGTGTTTGTGTCGGGTACATTTTGCCTCGAAATTTGATTCGCTGTACAGGATTAGCATGTTATTGTTGCAAAAGTTGCGGCTATATGTATTACATGTGGCAATATTGTAGATGAGCTGGTAATAGACTATGAATGGAAAGGCCCGTAACAACCGACTTTTACAACAAAAATACTTTAATTCCATATCTAATGAGGAAGTAAATGAATGTTAAACAGATAAATTGGAAGTACATTTATCTTGATCATAATAAATGATATTCATGTACCTTTCATATCTATCAAGCCATAATAATGAATTAATATCAAAATGATGGAATACAATCACATTCAATAAAAATGATAAAAAACAAACATATGTCTGATGTTTCTTCTATGCATGATAGTATTGTGTAAATATAGTTTATTAGATCAATGATATATACTTCTCAGTTTGATGCTCTGATTTTCAGTCCGAATCATACCTTATCGTCATGGTTTTGATGCGAGTGTTTCCGTCCTTTTTGCAATACAACTCTATCCTTCCCTTCTATTCGTATTATCCAGGCTGACGGAAATGTCCGCTGTGCCAAGTGTTGCTCTGTCGGCTCCTCGGGTGTTGTTCTCGTTGCAAGAGGAACGGCAGCAGCCTTTCTATGAACCGGAGGTCCTGCCGCCAACTTCGGTGAACCTGGAGCCTTGGTCTTGGAGCGCTGCTGTTTGCTTTTATGTGCGTCTCCGATCTCCTGCTCTGCCCTTCACCGCTTCCGTGCCTTGCTGCCGGTCGCAATCCGGTGACAGTACCAGCCTCTTTTCGTACAGACATAAATATTTCCTCTTTGCCACGAATCATATAATTCTGAATGAGTCAAGACCGAGCTGGAGGAATTGGAAAAGTATAGGTACTTTTTTGCCTTTAGCAATAGGTCTCATGTGATGGTGCTCTGCATGAGTAATATAGCGAAAATACGGTAAGATGTCGTATGTCTTATCTTATACTGATGAAACCATAGTTATATACTGTACCGATTTCGCATCACAAGAAGAATATTTACCTCTGCACCTAACAAGTACAATATATACATGTAAAACTGTACACAAAGCACATGAATATATCAAGAATATCGAATAAAATGGTTGTTATCCAATGGATTAGATAAATTATTTGTCTTTGCAAAGTAATTGAGTTCTTCGTCTACATTATGATGTAAAATATTTTGAAAAGAGTGTGATACGTTAGCTCCAAGAAATATTACAATTACCGTCCATAGCTCCACATTGAATAATTAGAAGATAATTACTCACATGCTCAATTATAAGAAACTAGTTAACGGAATAGGGCTAGATGGATGAAATTTATTTCTTCTAATTCTATAGAATATGCACATGAAAGTAAACTAGAAATATTATGAACATCCACATCGAAGACAATCTAATCCAAACGAATGTTTAGTGAACTGAACTGCTATAGTGATTCATGAGGAAGACCACTCACTATCTCTATTTGGTCAGTTATCTACCTTGTGATTGTTTGATGAAAAATTTAGTCTTTTGTCTAAATTTTTGTCCTATTCTTACGATTTAAGGTTTGCCATTAACTTGAAGCACAAAAGGTAAGTTATGTAATGAAATCTATATCTATATATGTATTTCTACCATATCAAATGTTAGAAATATCTCATATGAATTTGTAACAAATGTTAGATGGAGGGACAATATGATTACCACCTCTAAAAAGTCCATGAAACTGCAGTCTCAATGAGTGTGTCATTGCAACGAATTTGTTCTCACATCGTTGGGAGGGAAATGCAAAGCCAATGGGAAATCTTTGGACGACTTTGACTCGTGGACAAGAGCATTCGAGAGCCGTTACAGGAAGCCTGAATAACTTCTCCTTTCGTCACAATCGAATACGTCTTGTTGTGCCACTACCAACGTATTCAATAAATTCAATGTATCGATAAGTTAAGCCAGATATAAGACTTTTAAAGCTCGACATGACCCCAATCACAATGGGGTGAGAGGTTGAGGGTGTTCATGATCCCAGTTCAAAAAAGCATTGAAACACATCAAAGGTAAAGTAATAAAACACATGAAAACGGGTTCACTTTTCCTGCAAGTTGAAGAAGTCCACCAGTCACCAAGTCCAGGACCACTCTAACAAGAATTGTTTCCTTCAATTAAGTTTCCGCAAAAATTAGACTGGAAAGGGAGAGCCGTAGCTGGAGTGACGAGATCAGTGGACAAAAGTCCAGTGATCTCGTGACTTTTGCATCTTGACGATTCTCGAGAGGCGACTGAATGCACAAACCTCTTCTCGACGTGTAGATCTCTTGCAGTGGATCACAAGGGGCACAACGACAGCCGTACAGACAGAAATTGCTTTCCTCTTTTATCAGGCAGAGGAAAAAGTAGGGGAATACCCCTACAAGTAGTACAGTACAGTACATGGAACAAACCGAAGGACTGAAATGTGCTAGCCCCGATAGCATCCCAAGGGCAAAAATAATGTTATTATGAGATATGCACCGGGACATAACGGACTCTGCTTTATTCGTGCGCTCAGACAATTCTGCTGCAGCTGCTGCTGCTGCGGCCCAGGGCCAAGGGCAGCGATGTCGCAGTTCAGTCGGAGCAGCAGCAGGAGCGGCTGCGGCGACGGGACGGAAGGAGACGACGAGGATGAACCGACGGTCGCCGCATCCATCCATCCATCCATCCCCGACATCCCGGTTCTCCGTCGGAAGATGCGTGCTTCCTTCGCAAGGTCCGTAAAGTGAAAATTACCCGGGAGTCCACGAAGGGAACTGTGCCGAGGTGGAGAGTAAGTTCGGGAAATATTCGCGAAACTTCGAGGCTTTCGAAGTTTCGCGAATTTTCGGTTTCTGCAACTTTTTGTCGCGGTAACATCGGAGGAACCGACGGCGTCATTGAAATAGGCACAAGACACTTATTCCATTTTTACATCCACCGAACACGTATTCAGTAACGCCGGTAGCAAGAATTTCAGTTGGACACATGGCCTTGCTCCAAAGGGCATTTTGCGACTAATCAACAAAAGCAAAGGCAGCGATCATTATTTATGAGTTAAATACCGTGGCGAGGTATTTTTAAAAATTAACATCTAAGGCAGTTTATTAATGGCAAAAGTGGCATCTTTTTTAGAATGCCAGTTGTAACGAGGCCTGCGGTAGAGTGAAAATTGCCCGAAGGAAAAGGACCAATCGAAAAATTCGCGAAACTCTGAGGCTTTCGGGCCGGTTTCTGCAACGTTTCGGCGCGGTGACAACGGAGGAAACCTGGTGGTTTGACCAGCGGCAGAATGCCGGCAGACAGACAGACATGCGCCGCGGTGCGTTATGCGTTGCCGGCCGGGGTCGCGCTTGGAGTCGGTCGGTCGAGCTGACTCATCCGTCCGTTCATGGAATGGGCGCCGTTCACGAAGAAGATGCTCACGATTCTGGTCGTATAAAGGGGCGGGCGGAGTGCGACGCAAGGAAGAGAAGGAGGCGACGCTCGCCCGCTCGCCCGCCCGCCCGCCCGCCCGCCCGCCGTCTATAAAAGGTCGCACTGGATTGGCGAAGACGAGGAGGAGTAGAGTAGAAGGAGGAGGAGGAGGAGGGAGAGGGAGAGCAGGAAGAGGAAGAGGAGGAGGAAGATGAAGATGAAGATGGAGGAGGAACACTTTTGTCGTTGTTTTTGATAGGGGAGGACGGAATCGTGCACACATGAGTTTTCAAGAGGAGCGAGGAGGGGACATGCCCGATCCCGAGCCTGATGATGATGAGTGTTTGAGACGGCTTGTTGAGTGTTTCTTGAGAGCAAGAAGGGAGCAGGTGTTGGGGACGATGCATTAGAAAGAAAGAAGCCTAGCGAAGACGCAGGTTTGGCTTTTAGCTTTTAGCATTTGGCTTATGGATTTTTGGCATTTGGGCTTTTGTCAGTCACGGGCGTGTTGATTGGCGAGGATTTTTCGTGCTAAAGGATCAAGTTGCTGCCACGGTGGGTTGCTGGAGGCGTGCCACATGCTCCCATACTCCGGGCATTTACTGCACTTTGCAAGACAGGGCAGGGGAGGGCAAGGCAAGGCAAGGCAAGGCTAAGGCAAAGGCCAGGCCAGGACAGGTACGTCCTTGGGATGGTGACGCCCAACTTGCCTTTTCCGGGTTGTCTTTAGTTGCCGCTGGCGTTGTGCAGTTAGTGCACGGGAGTGCAGAAGGGCTAGTCGCAGATAGAGAAAGTACAGCAGCAGCAAAGCCGGAAAGTGAAAGCAGAAGACAAAGTACGGAAGGAAGGGTGGGAGCCGACCTTGGACTCGTCCCACCTCGTGGAGTTGGTGTCGCTGAGTGCTGACGGTGGTGGTGCTGGTGCTAGAGGTGGTCTTCAGCTTCACACTGGTCTAGCTAGCACTATCACACACGCCCTGTCGGTCGGCGTGCCTTTGCTCATAATATTTTCGTCTGGGGATTTTTCCGTAGCCATCTGAACTAGCAGGAGCTATATAGAGGACATATCTATCTTCGCTCCGCTCTGCTTTTAATGGGGTGCACCGCACCGGCCACCGAAGGCCGGGTTTTTGTCCTGCTTCCTCCCTCGCCCAGCTTTCCTGTCGTTCACCGTCGCGCTCCCCTTCTAAGGTGTACGACCCACATTGTTAGACTTCGCTGATGACCGCGAACCTCCATTCCTCTCTCTTTCTCTCTCTCTGGCATGGGATTTTGTATGACGCTTTGTTGTGACAGTTTTGAAGTGATTCGTTTCGACTTCAGTGGTGCCTGTACATCTCCTGGGGTGAGGCGAATTGGTATAGTCCTACATATCTGGTTGTTAGTTGCTGTGCTGATGCTGTCTGTCTGTCTGCTCTGTGCCAACGATCGTCATCGTTGATTCTTCCCACTGGGTAGCAGTCAATGCGTTGCGTTCCTGAGGTTTCCCAGGCTGTTGATTGTTCTTGGGTGTCAGTTTGCACTTACGAGACGAATTCACCTGTTCAATTGAGATGTACAATAATAGTTGTGGACAGATAGGAAGGGAGAGAAGAGAGAGAGTAGTACATCAGCCAGCCTTGACGTCAGTAAGTAAGTCGTAGATGTACCGGCGTTGTTGTGTTATATATGTGGGGATTTATCTTTCTTATCTGATCCTTGCGCTTCGAACGGGAGGAAGAAGACTACACATACAGACACACAATGCATATTTGAATTGTTAGCCACAAGTACATGTCCATTTTCCGTAATTTGAGCGGAGTTATTTATGGGAGGACTCGTGAATTTGGCAGGTGGGTGTGGTTTTATGAGAAGAAAAGGAGAATTTCGGCGCACGGCAGGGTCACAGACCTGGCTTGAAACGACATTGCAGGGAGAGTGTTGCTGTTACTTTACTGGAGTCATCTACCGGAGTATACCTTGTGATCCATTTGACGGTTGTGTCCAGATTAGAGAAGAGATCCGGAGAATCGAGTCTCGGCCACCTTGCGGTCTGTGTTCAGATGTAATCTTTGCTTCGCTGGCGAAACGAGTCTTGGTGAATTTTCAGCGATTCCGCAGGACGATGGCAGCTGGGTTGAGTGTAGCGTGATCCGACCGCGGGATAAACAATGCAAGCCGACCACTTCTGGGAAGGAGTTGCGTTGCGTACATGTCGTGCGTGATGTTAGGTGTGCACTAGATAAACCTGTACACCGTTTTCCCGTCTCTGGTGTTTTGCGAGGAGGACCCAAAGAAGGTTTCGACGATGGACATGCAAGTGGCCGCCGACTTTTCTGCGATGACTTTGAACGAATCACTTTGGGCAAACCAGGTGGAGTTGTACGCCGGAGACGGAAGAAAAGGGTCGAGAGGTCGGAGTGGATCAGAGCTTTTAGACTGGATCACTCTGCAGGGAACTTGTCCGAACGTTGTGTACATGAATGTAAACCCGGATACGGCACATGATGATCGTGTGGCAAGTATTGTTTTGGCGGACTTCAGTTCCGCTCTGAAAAGTGTGGCCAGATTGTGGGAACTTCGTCTGCAGGGTCTGCATCAGTTCACACCCGTAATGGGCATTACAGCGGATAAAATGGATTCAATACTGAAGCCCGTGTTTCTTGAACACATCAACTCGTTACTCGATGAACACGGAAGAGAACTGATTGCTCAGGAAGAGAAACTTTTGTTCGAAACTTCGCAGACGAATGCGAAGTTGAAGAAGTTTCACAGTGAGGAAAATTTTCGAGCTTTGAAGGCAGTTGTTAAAGATTTATCTTTTCGACACGAGCAGATTATTTTGAAACTTTCCGAGTTCCGAAATGCAATGGAATGTCTGCGGACCATAATCACATCTTTGGGATCGGAAGACGAGGTTGCGCAAGAGATTCCGGTGTTTGCGTTGAGGCCGGATTGGACCTGGCCTCAGCTTCACTGCATAATCCAGAGGGAATGTGACCGCTTACACGCCCAGTTACCTCTATACGCCCGCCGCTCGGACATCATTTCTCTACTCAGTTCCAATCAGGTGATAAACGTTGATCAATTGCTTGAATGCTGGTTTGCTGTTGTCGCACGTCAATTGCATCTTCGCAAGGAGAATACGTGTATGCATTTGTCTCAGCGCCTGTGTGGTTATGAAGTTGTTCCCTTCGTGGGATGTGGCTGTCGTCGGCATGAACTACTGTTGTCATAGTGGAACATTTGAAGATGTACAGCGTGTCAGTGCATTCGGTACATACGTTTAGGTGCCTTTGGGTGCTATTTTCAAAGGGTTTGGCCGATTGTCGTTCCGCATTATCAATATGCACATTGGGTGGGCGAATTCCAATCATTGCTTGTCAGTGGGCGGGTGCGGCGGGGAGGGAACAAGGAAGGATTCTGTCAGGAGCTGCATCTGCATAGAAGAGTCAGTAGCCCTTGAGTCAGCGTGGCTTTATCGACAATCTGCTATGCAAGATAATTTAGATATATGAGAAAGATGCAAAAGTGTTGGCTGATCTACATCCGTGTCTTTAGACGGAAGATCACCACGAGCTGAAAGGGTGTAGCCTTTATGCAGGAATGGAGAACGTCCTGTTCAGTTTGTTGCTTCGATCAAGGGTTCAGTTGTAAGGGGGTTATTCTGGCCTGTATATCTCTCCTTGGCTAGATCAGGAAGGGCTTGAATTTTGACGGGGATTTACCAGGTGCCTTCTTTCCCTTGAATGAAGCTGTGAGCTTGAGCTAGAGCTAGAGCTCAGGAGAGTGGAGTAAAGCTTCCAACAATTCAAGGAAGGAACTTCTGAGTGGAGGATTGAGGCTTTGGCTCGCTTCTTACTGATTAACTGTGGAGCGTCTAGCACTTAGAAGCTTGATTCACCAACTTGTAGTTTTTCACGTCTTTACATTCTACTGTAGACTGCATATCACTTTCCGCGATTTTTAAGAGGTGTCTCTAGTTTCTGCATAACGAGATTCGTCTCTGTCGCTACCGGAGGGAGACGGTGAACGTTTGGGTGGATTTAGCCCTGGCTTGTAATACGTTAGTGTTGACATGAATGTTCCCCTTTCTTGTTGACTTGAAAACTTCTGCATCGAAACAGAAAGTCCAAGATACTGGACAAAATTATATACTATTCGGAGCTGTGATATAGTTTCAATTCTTACTGTTTGCTTTTTTCCCATTTGTTTTCCGACGTCTGCAGGTCGTAGTTCTTGTCGGAGAGACGGGGTCGGGGAAGAGCACGCAGCTACTGCAGTACCTGTATGATGCAGGATATGCAGGAGGTGGGAGGTCGATAGTGTGTACCCAGCCACGCAAAGTTGCTGCCTTGAATCTTACACAACGGGTAAAGGAAGAGAGTGATGGATGCTACAATCGCCCATTCCCAGTGGGTTGTGTTACTGGCTCTAATGCTCAAAGTTATGCACATTTAGCAGACACCAATTTTACTACCGACTTTATTCTGCTCCAGTTTTGCCTGATAGACCCTCTCCTGTCAACTTTCAGCTGTGTGGTAGTGGACGAGGCTCATGAACGCAGTCTGAACACAGACCTTCTATTAGCTATGCTAAAGAGTGCTCTTTCTCAGCGCCCTGATCTGAAGGTTGTCATCATGTCAGCCACAGCGGATGCAGAGTTGCTATCTGCATACTTCGGTTGTGGTGACATTTTGCGCGTTCCAGGTAGAAATTTTCCGGTGCATGTGATATATGAAGAAGGGGAACGTCCTGAAGAGTGGTATGATGATTATATGAAGAGGGCCGTGAAAAAGGTCAAATCTATACACGAGAACGAACCAGAGGGCAATATCCTTGCATTTCTTACATCACCGGCAGAGGTGGATTGGGCTTGCGGGCAGTTCTCCGATCCCTCCGCCTTGGTGCTGCCGCTGCATGGGAAGCTTCAATACGAAGACCTCCGAAGGGTATTCCAGGTACTACGAACATTAATTCTCAGTTTTTCTATCTATTAGACTCAAGTACATGGTGTTAGGAAGATTTGTGCATCAGAGTTTAGAGGACGCCTGCAGAGTTGGCACTGAGGACGGACGGCAAGAGTCTCACGCTTCTGAATCATCGGTGGCCACAACTTCTTTTTTGAAAATCAGTCGTGCTCTGCTGACCTGGAACATTTCGTTTCGCTTGTTTTTCTGATGCGCGCTAACACGCTGTGCCTGTTTGCGTTTTCCTGTCTGCACAGGAAAATGTTCCTGGAAGACGCAAAATTGTTTTTGCTACCAATTTTGCGGAGACATCGTTGACCATCCCGGATGTCAAGTATGTTGTTGACTGTGGTCTGGCGAAGGAAAGCACTTTTGATCCGAAGAAAGGGATGAACGTCCTGCAAGTGGGAAAAATAGATCAGAGCTCTGCTGTACAGAGAGCAGGTCGGGCAGGGCGCACTCAAGTGGGAGTTTGCTATCGTTTGTACGGGGAATCCGAGTTTGAGGGTTTTGCTTCTCACAGGCTGCCAGAAATAAGACGTGTGCATCTCGGGGTCGCCATTCTCAAGCTTCTAGCTTTGGGTATCAAGGAGATAGAGAATTTTGACTTTGTCGAGTCCCCTGACCCTCAAGCAATTCACCTTGCGTTGCTTGTTCTGGACCAACTTGGAGCAGTGAAGCAGGATCCTGGCACCGGAGATCGTTACCTCACACGGTTGGGATGGAATTTGGTGAAGTTGGCTGTCGAACCCCGGCTCGGTAAAATTCTTCTTGATAGCATACAACAAGGGTTTGGTCAAGAGGGGCTGGTTATAGCGGCACTCATGTCTAACAGTGGAAGTGTATTTTACCGATCTGGTTCGGAAGAGGTGAAAGAACGTGCAGACCGCCTCAAGATGAGATTTTGTCATCCTCATGGAGAACTTTTCACCCTCATGTCGGTCTATCAAGAATGGGAGTCGCAGCCTGATAGATTGCGCAATCAGTGGTGTTTGAGGAACTCCATCAGCTCCAAAGCCATGAAGAGGTGTCAAGATCAGGTGATGGAGATGAGGAATTGCTTGAGGTACGAGTTGAAGATAAATGTACCGTCGACATCCAAGTGGTCACCAGCTCAGCCCAGAGAATCCAGCACTCCTCTGCGAAAAATCATTTTTGAAGCCCTGGCGGGTAACTTGGCTGTCTTCACGGGGCATGATAGATTAGGATACACTGTTTTGTCTTCAGGCCAACAAGCTCTTTTGCATCCATCTTCCTCAATTCTGGTTTTTGGTCTAACTCCGGACTTCGTTGTTTACGGAGAGATTTTGCACACTTCGAACACTTTCTTGGATTTGGTGACTGTGGTCGAACCAGAATGGATCCAGCCTCTTAGTTGGAGTTTACAGTACGACGTGGGCGCGTTAAAAGCTTCCATCATGAGACAGTGGGTCGTTCAGATGACCAGCGGCAACTTTTTGAGCCGGGTTTCCGGCAAGCAAGGCCAAAATCTGTCACTTTTGAAACAAGCAATCCAAGAAAAGCATCATGAGCGATGCATGATAGATTTGAGTTACGAAAGTAACACCATGTCCGTCTACACGACTCCAAAGCAAATGGGAGTTGCTCAGAAGCTAGTTCAGAGATTGATAGAAAGGGAGAAGCGGTGGTTGGAACATGAAGCTTTGGAAAAGCCGGTGGTTACAACAGGTACCAAAAATCCCACGCCAGCAATTCTGGTGGGTGCAGGGGCTGCTGTGAGGGATGTTTTAATGCCTGGAGAGTACGCCAGCGTAGAAATTCTGTATGAAGGTTCTTCGGGGTTGGATGAGAATGACGACGAACAGCTGCTGGAGATTTTCGATCTATGTGGGGAAGGATTAGCTGGATTTGACAAACAATGCCGCCGCTCTCCTAAAGACCAGGGACCGCATAAATGGGGAGTCGTTCGGTTTAGATCTAGTGTCATAGCACGGACGGCAGTGAAAGTCCTAAATGGTCTATCCTTAAATAAAGGGAAGATTCAACTGATCGTGAGACCTCCTGACGAGTCGAGTACGAACAGCTTCAACAGAGTCCCGCTTCCTGCTGTCAAAGCGACCCTCGCCTGGGCCCGACGCAAGCGGAAAGGTTGGGCCACTGTGAGGTGTGATCCCAAGGACACACCAACCTTGATGGAGGCCGTCGTGAACAACCCCAGTAAAGGAGGAGTGTATGTTCATGTCAAACCCGATCGCTCGAAAGAGAATTCTATTTTCTTGATTGGACTAGATCCAAATGTAGACGAAGACTCGCTACAAGAAATTCTGCTGAAAATTTCGGGATGCAGAATACTTGATTGTTACATGCCAAGAAGTCCTGCACCGATTTCTCAGCCCTCTGTCAAAGAGGTACAAGAGGAGATTGTTCAGCTAATCTCTGCGTTTGTCCCGACAGACAAGTTCCACGTGCTGGTTTTTGAGCCCAAAGAAAGAGATTATGTTGCCCGAGCTGAGATTCGATTTGACGAAAGTGTACACGAAGGAGCTACAGCTGCCTTGGGAACTCTTGAAGGATTGGTTTTGTCGGGCTGCAAGCAGTGGCAAGCCATAACTTGTCGGAGGATGTTCTCCTCGCAGGTCCATATATCGAGGTTGATGTGTGGAGTGCTGAAACAGGACTTGGAAGATCTAGTAACTGCTCTGCAATTAAAACATCGTGATGCTAGAATCATCATGTCTTCGAGGGAGTCAGGAGCCCAACGCGTTCAGGTGTCTGCCCCAAGCTTGGCTGTAGTTGCTGGGTGTAAATGTTTATTAGAAAAGCTTATGGAAGGGCAGGCAGTCACAGGAGAGGACCTGGACGAATCAGCTGTGAGGCTTCTCTTCACCAAGAGGGGTTCACAGATTTCTAGAGCGGTAGAAGTAAAAACCAAAACTCTAGTGTTGTGTGATAAGCGGACACAAGTAGCTAGGATATATGGACCACCAGCAAATAAAGCCATAGCGTTGAAAGAAATGGTTTCTAGGTTGAAAAAGCTTGACTCGATCGTTAAGTCGCGGCAGATCCCGCTCAGAGGGGAGGGATTGCCACCAGGCTTAATGAGGGAGGTTGTGAAAACCTTTGGCCTTGATCTGCAAGGTTTAAGGAGTCTAGCCGGTGGTGACGTGAAGCTGAACATCGACCATCGGACTCATCTACTGTCAGTTTACGGAGAAGATGTGGACGCTGTAGTGAAAGTCCAGACGGCCGTGGCAGACATGGCTCAAAGGTTAATTTTGACGTCATCTCATACACGGCCTACCGGAGATATCGCCAGGCAATGGAGGCATGGTGCGGACGAATGCTCCATTTGCTTCTGTCCGATGGAAGACAAGTATAGCCTCGAGGCTTGTGGGCATGGGTTTTGCCGGTCGTGCCTTCTCGACCAGATCAATGCATCAATACGTCATAGAGATGGATTCCCACTCACATGTGCTCATGATGGGTGCCAGCAACTCTTCGTGATCGCAGACATTACCAGACTCTTGACTTTTGAACAGCAAGATGAACTTTACAGAGCCTCCTTGAGTGCGTTCGTCGCTCAACATCCTCTGGCTTACAGATATTGTACCACTGCTGATTGTCCTAATGTTTATCGTGTTACCACAACTGGCGATCGGTTCGCATGTGCAGCTTGTTCTCTTCAAATCTGCACAGCTTGCCATGTGGAGTATCATGAGGATCTGTCGTGTGAGGAATATGAAAGATATAAGCTTGATCCCGATGAATCTCTGCAAGCCTGGAGAGAAGGAAAGATAGATGTTAAGAACTGCCCCAGCTGCGGAAGTGTGATAGAGAAAGTTGATGGTTGTAACCACATGGTTTGCCTTTGTGGTAACCACGTTTGTTGGGTGTGCTTGAAGGACTTTGTAGATGCTAGTCATTGCTACGACCATTTGAGATCGGCCCATGACGGATTCGACTTTATTGTCGGTGGAGTAGAGTAGGCTAGATAGGGAAAGCGGTAGACAAACAGAGTGTAATTATAGTTCGGAAGAGGTAATAAACATAGTAATTTTTGGCTAGTCTCTTGTCTAATGGAGTCCATATCCTCTAGTGAAATTGCTGATTGCCATTCAAGATCTCATGTATGGGACAGGTTAGATTTGTTGGTACGAAAGATCTATCCGTATCAGTACTAGCATGCCATTGTGGGCAACTGTATGGATGAGTGTGGAATGTAAAGAGTTGCGTCAGTTTTCAAAAGTAGGCAGGAACGATAGCTGTGAAAGTTTTATATGATTTTCGAGGTTGAAATCTCCGTAGAAGCTGAGACCGTAGTTGCTTTATACACTGGCTCTTCGTGAGGTTTTACAGGGAGGAAGCTAGTATAACAAATTAAAGATGGTTCCAGATAGCAGACAAGCTAAGTTCGAAATAGCAACACTCCTTATGTCTTCTATGCTGCAACATTAGTCGGACTCGAGGCACTATCAACATATGTAGTGAATTGCTGCCTTGATGCTCACTACTTCATGTTAGCTGATACTTTTTGTTGACCCCGGTACACACCATCCGTTTAGCCCTTCAACCGCACGTTGTTCCTGCAATCGTGCCTCATGTTATTGTACATCTCTGTAATTTGTCGGTATGACAGTTTGCATTTTCTATTTTGGTCGGTGGGGTGTTTCTGTATGCCATTTGTGCATATTGACATTTTTTTGTTAAGAAAATGACGTTTTTCGCTCAGTAACTGTTCTTTGTAGTTTCGATTGTTCCTGGTAAAGGCTGCTTTCCGGATTAACCTTGACTTGATGATACATGCCAAGTTATTTCTATAAGGTACGCTTGGACGATTTTACTTACCTTCGTACCTCCAATTCACAAAACTTGAGGCCTTGCTTGCACCACCGTGATTTTGCCATCTCTGTATATTCCTTCAATGTCCTGCAAAGAATTTGGGTCCGCATGTTAACTTTGACTTAAAGCAGTCTAGGGCTTTTGTGCGCAGGAATACTAAAAATCTCGTTACCTGGGCCTGGCCTCCGAGTGCAGATTCCACGCACAATCCGACCGTCTTAATGTCCTGAATCAGTTGCTCCCGAAACTGTGGAGCAAGGATGACCACTACCAGGTATGGGACAGTGGGCATGTTGTTTGTAGCAAAATGGGCATCTAGCGGAAACAGGATATTCTCCTCTCTAGTAGATATAGTCGGCTTCCGAGTTATTCGAGTTATAAGTTAGGAAAGAAGTACTCGGTTTCGTGAGCTTTTTTGTAGAAATAGCGTACTTGAATGTCCCACAGCAGTCGCTCTTCGCAGAAATCAACCAAGATTCTTTTGGGCGGATCAACTATCACACTGTCGAATCTGCAAATTTTCGCAAGCTGTCAGGTATCTCTCTGTCTGTCTCTCTCTGAGAGATTTTTACCAACAGACTGCACTATCCACGATGATAGAGGGACTCGCTTCTATCATCTGTAACCACTTCTAATTTGCAGTCTAACTCATGTTTACAAAATTTCAGATTATTACAGGCCAGCTCCTGCGAATGTCTCCAAGTCCTCGCCGTTCGAATCGGAACGTGCTATGAGGCACTCATCAGCTGCAATGTATGCCACGGCTTTTGATGGCAATGATGTGATTCTGGGTTCTGTCCAAAGAAACGACGATCACCTCCTGTCAGGTACAGAATCTACTCTATGCCAACGAGAATTGCTCAGAGGGGAAAAGCGCCAACTCTTTTCTGGGTGTTCTGGAAGCAATATTTTGGAAGCTGAACCTCTTTACATGTCGACCTTCTCAATAGAGTCCATGCATTAAGCTGACAATGATAATATTGAAAACGATGGCGTTTGGGTTCGAAGGCATTATCAAAGCGGAAGGTAGTTGTGGCACCCACTCGCGTTGTCGTCCTTCGATATGGTGAAGCTTAGTGCAGTCCCCCTGTAGTTACCAACCAAAACTTCTCCTAATCCTGGAACCACCTGCGTCGACGGAGCAAATGTGCACTCTCAGATTCTAGTGCAAAGAATCATTTGACACCCAGACAAGTTCACGATCAGATGCAGGCCACGCACCTCACAAAACATCTCTGACTTGTCCTTGGAAATCGGATGCACTGTATGTATGACGAAGGCGTACTCTGCGGGTACGACCTTTTGCAGTAGGCATCCCATCAACAAGGCCTCCTCTGATAAGCCCGTGGCTTTCCGGCTTAGCCTGAATGCTCGTATGCCAGCCAATTCCCTTACGATTAGGCCTCAAGTTTTCAAGAACAAAACCTTCTAAGAGATAATTGGAGAGAGAAAGAGGTATTGTATGTATGTTTCATTCTTTGTAAGTCAAGAAGTAGCCACTGAAAAAAAGGTTCAGCATATAACGATATCATCATTGTAAAACACTGACGTGATAGATTGGTAATACAGAACCTAGTAACATGATCATTGCTAACTTTGTTTTTTTTTTACATACATAAATATATATGACACACAACTATATTTATTCAGATGTCTCGCATTCTTCGTGGGGATTGACAGAAGTCATCTTACATTTCAAATGGAGTTGATTTGAAAGCATGAAATATGTTAGATGTCTTCACGAGGAAGAAGAACTTGACAAGAGATTCTACCGCCATTATCACAATCCAATGGATAATATTGGTATTGATAATGGCGATAGAGTCAAACCCCTAGATCGGGAGAATGGAAAAAAATTGATTAACACATGGCTTCAGACCTAGTGTAGAATATTACTTTTATTAAAATATTAATGAGATGAATATGGTTTTCAGATTATCAGGGATCAAAACAAGACAATAAAGTTGAATATACATCTATGTTTATTGAAATTCTTTGATAACCCTACATTCTTAGAATTCTACATCTAGGTAGCATCAAGATGAAGGATAAACTATAACATATCCCAATCTTGCGAATAACACTTAAACTTTTCATCTCGTATGATATTGAGCAATTGGTATTGATTCTTTCTTATGTTTGTTGCAAAACCATATGAGTTTCCAATCTGTATAGTCTAATTCATCTTGCACTCTTTTCAACTTTGTGATCCATTGTTTACTGTTAATCGTAGTGAGACACAATAACAGAAAGTTTGGACGTGATTGAAGGCTGTTAATATGCTCAACGAATCATATCACGGCTTTGTCACACATGTAAGACTCATTCCACCTAGTGTAAGCCATGAAGGACTTCCTTCTTGCCACACAACACATCCGAAATTCTGTAACATTAGAACTGTCCAAAAAACCATATGTGACAGATTAGGGAGGGTGAGGTGAGGGATAAAGAGGGTACAGTTCAAGGGGCTGGCAGGTAGCCCTAGGTGCAAAAGATGTGCGCAGGCTGGATTCGAATGGAGAAATTGAATACCTGATTGTATACATTATAATATATTTGAGGTACAATCGATGAAATATTTACCACGCTCTGTCTGTCCACTTGCTGGCCCAAACTTGGCAAATTGCACGCCAATTATTCTCCCATACAAGTTGGTTCTTCCAAGCACCAGGTCCAATCAAGCCGGATGCTTCAGCAGCAGCACATAGTGCATCTTTCATAACTTCGGGTGCTGTAACTTTCGATTTTATTATTTTCCTGATAAGTGCTAATTCTTTTGGAATCCTATGACACCCACAACATAAAAGAAAGGATGATTAGTGAATTATCTGCTACATATATTCGGATTACTAGATAGGGTCATTCAACAGTAGAACATACCAAAATGTGCACCGCTTTCTACACTTTTTACTAAAATAGCTCGTGTATGTGTAATAAGGAGGTATTCTTACGCGTTAGAACTTTTACTGGCTGCATCCAATTCCCTCAGTACTTTCTTCAGGAGTGAAGCAGCCATTTCGTTGAGAGGGTCGTTCAGAAGCTGTTCATAAGTCGTAAGGGGGAGGACGACTGATGCTGGCACCTGTGTAGTTGAAGGCAGTCACCGACATATTTGTATATCAAATGCAAAGATTGACACTATGATTCATTATTGCTGCTGCACGGGGACCGCCACTTATAATCCCAGACAACCTTAGGCAAGCAAGTCTTTTACATTGAAGAATACTATGTAGTTCACTAAGTGACTAAAGACCTTTCTGTCCCCAGATCTGTTGATTACTTTACTTATTTCTTTACTTATTTATTAATCATTTGTAATAATCTAATGTACTTAATCTTGAGTTGAATTACAACTCAAGACTCAGCTGGTCTTGAGTTGTAATAATAAGCTTCATAATAATTGTCTTCGAGAAAAACTATGGATGGAACTCACATACATTTATCTTTTTCGGCAATAGCTTACGAAGTCTGGCTATATTGTATGATTTACCCCCAACTTGGGATTCGTCGTAGCTATCCTCCTTGAAGGTCCACTTTGAAGGCTAGTCGAAGCAAGAGCACCAACAGGAGTGGAGGTGAGATACGGTAGGCAAAGAGAGACCACGACCGCTCAACATGAACAACCTTTTACGATGAACTGAAGGAGTCGAATATCAGGCTTGAGAGATAAATCACATACCAGAGCAGGTGGACACCGTTTCAAGGGGGACGTTAACTGATCTGGAAGCCAATGATGACATGTTATTTTGGTTTGTTCTTTCTCGTTTATTTTAAGTGCAATCTTGATGGCCATTAACGCTGAGAACAGCGGATACTAGAAGATTGTAGCCTCAACAGTCTGAAGTACCGATTGCCCTGTTGTCGAAAAGAGTCGTGCATTCCCGAAGGTAGTTTACTCACTGGGCTTCTTATTGCTCTCGTTCAAGTCCATCGGAGAGTATCCTTGAACAGGTTGCAAGAAGCTGTCAAGCTCCTCCGAAGCCACGACTTCTCCTGTCGACTGGATTGTGACAACTACGGTCTTCCCTGATAAATTTGAAGAACGATGTTGTCGGCGCAAACTTCTGGCGGAATATTATGGAGACTTCTCATAATTCAAGGATCTTGTAAATAGATCCACTATCAAGTGAGTTCTAACATGAGAATCCAAGCTGTCAACTAATCTGAGAACACATGAAAGTTCCTCATCCCTTTCCACACTCCTTTCATCAGCTCACAGCAAGCATTAATTGCTCGCAAATATTTCGTCCTCTACAAACCAGCAATCTACCACTTTCTTTTCTTCAAAGTCCTTCTAAACGTGTACTTAAGAAAGGCATCGGTGTTCAGACTATTCTTTCTCTTGATAACAAAGTGGACAACATGGGACGACAGACGTGTCTCACTAAAAACTGTTTCTTACAAGATCCATGTCCTTTATGGTGTGTGATATGATAACTAATATCACACAAGTCTAAAACCAGCGGGTTCTACCCTAAAAACTAGCAACGAGGGAAAACAACGGCATAAGGCTGCTGTCACCTGAGGATCCCCTACATAGCACGGGGAAATCTGCACCTCAGACACAAAATAGTGAATTCTCGCAGTTCCGACAGAACTGGCGTGAGGTCTTTTGAAATAAGAGTTATGCTCTTTTGGCAAGCTTCTCAATGCACGTTCGTGGAAGACTTTCCTATACTAACCTTCCATTCTTTTCATGGTTTCGAACTCCTCGCTATCAGAACAACTGGCAAGAAGTACCTTCAAATTGCAAAAATTACAAGAGATTCAGTTTGCAAGGGAAACTTAAAAGTCAAAAATGAATTACCGAAGCTGACCTTCTCTTCCGTACGCTCATGTACAATTGACAGACTTAACAGCTACATACTGAAACTCCCCATGTTCATCTTACTTTACATTGACAGGATACCTTGTTGTTGCGAGCTCGAATGGAAACATGGCTCAGAATATCAGTTGTACTAGAACTTAAAACAGCAGTCACTCCGACGGGTATATCCTCAAGGCCTCCAATCTGCAGGTAATCTCTGATTCAGAACCGGCCACATACATCATGAACAGGGATCATCGATGTTTGGAGCATAATCTCCTAGACACAACACAGTGGATGGGGATCTGGTTTTGAGCTCTGCCAACACCAGACAGAAGTCTTGAAGAGATTATATTCCCTGCAACTCGTCCGATATTCAGTTCAACAGTCGGATTCGTAGGCCCAGAATGACGTAATATTTGTACCCGTGGACTCTGATTGCGCGACGCTCGGAGCCTAATAAAATCAATTTATATAACTTCAATGTTTATGAGAAAACCTCCGCAGAAACATGAACAGCCACTCGAAATCCAAGGGTAACCTACCGAATCTATGATGACTACTCGAGACGATGGAAAAACGTGGCCCTGAATCGACGCTAAAGATGGCAGCACCATAACTGTTCCTCTTGCTAAAGCTTGATGACTTGCTATCTGCACCAGCCATCATACATGAATAGGCAGTCAAGCAATGCAGTTTTCTCTCTCGGAAACGATATTGAAGTTCGAAAGTCGTGCAGATAAGCCTTTGGGACTTTCACCCACAAATACTACAGCGAGATTCTTTTTGTGTTCGTCGAGACTTTCAAGGTAATTACACTCTCATGCGGAACAAATTGTCATTACTACCTGGTCGTCAGATTGTCGTTAGCTAAAGACAGAGAATGGACTTTGATTGTACAGTATCAAACAAAGAAACTGTCTGATTCCACAAACCTGCCATGAACCCACACATGCGGTTGCACGTAGCATTGGTTGCAGCTTCTGTACTAAATTTGATAGATTGAATATGGACTGTCCACGTACAACCTGCAAAGTTGGGGTCCATCCTTGGTACCATGTGGATCAGAGGGGATTACAAACTGCTTGGGCACAAACTGGCTTGTGTGAAACCGTAGGTTTTCGTTAGACTTGTACACAATGTTCACTCGATTTTCCCGCTTTAATGCAATGGTTGAAGGCGACCCACCTCTTCCCCAAAAGCGTAAATGTAGGACGTTTCAATTCCGCACAATTTCCCCAAAGTTTCAGCTTGTGGCTGTACAAATTGATACATGCTGTCTACGTATCCTGCACAGATTAATTGAAGTCAGCTGTGAGATATCATGGTATTTAGACTCCTTTTCTTGAGTTCATATCTTAATTTTTGTTGTGGAAAATATCATGTGACTTTCTCACATGAAACCCATAGCGTTTGGTTCTTCTCTTTGCTTCTTGTTTTTTCATATCTCTGACAGTCCCCATTCTTCAGTGCAACCTGTGTATTTTTCAGAGCGAGCTCGAACTTGTTCTCATGCGGTGACTAAGGATGTTTGCAATCTGGAATCTACGACAGTCCTTTTCTTAGTCTCTCAACATGATTGCTTATGTAGGTTCCAATCAATTTCTCACCTTGTAGAGCTTGACTGATCCGATCCACGGCTGCTAATGCAAGTAACGCCCATTCCTGAGTCCATCTGTTAGTTCTCTTGACCTAGTTTCAACACTCTACGTGTTAGAACTGGGGAGAAAGCGATTGCTGTTAGGCCCTCTGGAATGACATCGTCCATTGATATGAGCAGCATTTCAAAAGAAAGTCGCTTACTTTGTACCAAAGGTTCAAGCACATGTTGAGCTCAGGACTCTCCGTGTTTATGCACGCATTCTCAAGGACCAGCGATATCAATTCACAAATGTCATCGCCACTCAGAGAAGACTGTTCATACACAGACGAAAAAGCGTATCTTGCTTAGCATTCTGGACGTTGAATACGTCGGTGAAGGTTCGCCAACAAGACGGCTGTGGACAGCGAAATGCAACTCAAAACACAGAATTCTCAAAATTTACCAGCCCCATGTCATACCTCATGTAAAGGACGGGAACAATCGTAGAAAGTCTTGCCTTGTCTATGCGCGATATACTCAACCCAAAAAAGCTATCGAGAGCAATATCTAGCATGAGAACATCCCTGCTCGACCAATCTGCTCGACAAATAGGTTCCATGCGTTTTCTGGCTTCAACAATTTTTCCTGGTATCCACCTGATGACGATGCATTTCAAAGTACTAAGTTAAGCTGTAAGTCGTTTCCAGAACTTAACTAGAAACTGTCATGATGTTCTCGAAGCAATCATAACACAACAGTCTGTCAAGTTGATACATTAAAACTAAAACTTCCAAAGTCTCACCATGTGCTGCGATTGCTAAGAATGTGATATAGTAAGTCCTTCAAGTCTTCATCCATGTACTTTTTGCTCATTTCCATAGCCACGTCAAGATCTGCACCTGAGTGTACAGTCTTCAGCACCCATAGAAAATGCTGCAAGGAAGTTTACGGTGATCGGTTAGTTTCTAAGAAGACGAACAGCAAAAGAGACGACCGAATGGGGAAATATGCTGTGTGGTGCTGACTCACTTTAGCAAGCAGCTGAGATTTGGGTCACAAGCAAATTTCTAATTGTGCCACAATTACAATTGCACAAAAATGTTCCTAAGCGTACGAACAAAGTAGTAATCAATTTCATCTTCACGCCAAACGGGCACTCCAAGCTTGTGTTGGTATGTGTTGATGTGGGGTCAATAAAGAGGACCCTGGAACTCTAGGAGCTCCGGAGACCCCTCCTCGGATTAAACCTTCTAGTACCATCGTAAACCGGTACATCGAAATTATGTGAGAGACTTCTCAGCTCTGCTGTGCCACCTTGAAAGCTGGTATGAGCTGAGGAAGAAAAAGTGGTCTTGCGCTGATGGGATGATCCATCTTTTCCAACCATTCTTTCGTTACTCCTCCTCGGTCCCTGCACATCATATTGAAGTCAGGTGTGAAGTATGAGTGTTCTTCGTGCTCCATCACAACCTCGTTGACACACCCACTTTGATCACATGAAAAGCGCTTTTAGTTTTGAACCATGTCACGGCAGAATCAAGGCGTCTAAACGAGGTGGAATTTGATGAAAAAATTTGACAGGAAATATGGAATTTCAGAGCGTTGCTTTTTACCACAGGCTTTTGTAGAAAGCATCCATGCTATTCGTATATAAGAACTCCAGATATGCCTGCGGTGATATGAGAAAGAAGGGTAAGTCTAAATGGCTGTCTTTTCATATTCATCAATCAGTTTCAGTTTCATCAAAAAACCTTGCCTCGGTGGACCTCCAGGGACTTGTACCCGTCCCAATAGTATTTTGTCACCATGGCAAGAAATAATTTCGTTCTTTGTCAAATTACAAAGAGGATTGACGTGGCGTCTGAAGCACCTCGCATATGTGGATATCTTCTGGGGAAGTATTCGTGTGTAACTTTTGATGCCATTGCTCCAGAAAACGCTCTTCCAAGCCTGGCCTGTGTGGAGAGAAGTGACTGGCGTTGCAGCTTCTAAGAGCTATTTCCAGGTTCAAGTAAAGCTTTCTTTGGAACGCATGAGACGCCTGAAACTTAATTTCATGAACTGGAATACGTTGCTTTTTCTCCTCACAACTTGGGGGATTCAGTCGCTGGATTAGTGTTCCGGATTTGTGTTTACTCGGAATAATGAATTCATACCTGTGTCCTTCTTTAATGCCGTGTTCCCTCATAATGTTTAATATTCTGCAAACGAAGAAGATATTGTGATACAGTTACTTTACTAGGAGCCATCCATATAGTCCACAATTACACTCGAAGATTTTCTAGAGATCTGTGTAAAATTACTGGGTGTCTTAAGAGCTCACGCGAGATAAGATTGATCTTTGACTTGATGTAAATCTACTGGTGATAACCTGATACACAATTAGTGCGCATATATTAAACTACTGCGATAGATTGCTTGGCTAATAGAAGCATTTCGATGAAAAGTTAGAACCACGTCGCCATCATGACGAAACTGCTTGAGCTAATGAACATACCCCATTCTGATCTGTTCTGAATCGCCCCCTCCCCTTGGGAGAGTGGACAGAGACATTCTGGCGAATAATCTCACGGGCGAATTCCTTCCTCTTTTCACCTTCTGTGCCATCAACGATGCCAGCCTCTACAATGCCAGGGGAGTACATTTTAATGTCTCGAATAGGAAGTTTTATCAAATGCATACGTCCATGTCGAGAGAGAGTGAGGAGTCTCTTCGTAAAACTTAGCTGAGACCAATAGAAAATTATGCCTCATCTGGCCGGTACAGCGTTAAGAGAGAAATGATACACAAAAGGAACTGCCTGCATGACCTTCACGGCGGTTACCTCTTGAACATGAGCTATATCTTTTGACTGATAGTTGCAGTTCCGGTACCAGCCTAGCTGCACATGAATTAAGAATATACTAGATGAGTTTAGTCTTGTCGCTGATCAAAGTTGATTACTGATTATGATCGATGAAGGTTTCCAAATTGAGCTTCTAACTCTTGTCGCAGATGTAAACAACAGAACGAGAGCGATTAAAGAAGCCAGACGTGACGAAGAACCTGCTTGTTAGATGAGAATCGAAGCCAAGTGTAGACTAAAGCCATGCCTTCTGCACCGAGGGCTTCTGCTGCATCTAGCAGATTGCTTGCTAATACGAAGCGACTAAACAAAGACCAGTTGCTGTAGCTCGTTTCTGGAACCACAATCTGTCCACAAGTGTCTTTCAACTTAGCCTCTAGCATGCAGGGCACCTCAGCATGCTACCAACGGTCTAGAGCTAATTTCAACTCAAATGATTGAATCTGCTATATCATCCAGCAACCACAAATCAGACGAAACGCTTTTGTTGATTGTCACCTGGTTCATGAGATCTTTCAGTTCCAAAGGTTTGACCATCACGGAGAAACAACCACCATTATTGTACCATGTCCCTGCCTTATCCTGCATGCATGAACTTTTTCAGATAATTCTCTTTTGAGGGTTGGCTCTGCCTATGTTTGATATTTAGTGCAAACACCACACCCCGTTGCTCTTTTATTCTTCATAATCGAAATCTGGAAACAGAAGGAATGTAAGAGACATACTCTTAGTACGAAAACCAAGTGCTTTGGTGCTGCAGTCTCCGAGAACCTCATGAGGACCTGATTAGAGACAAACGAATGTTCAAGGGCAGGAGCAGTACGGTGCTCGACGACGACATTGGAGATAACGAATTTACCAAGATGCTCCTTCCCGGTCCTCTTGTACTAGAGAAAGGCTATCGTTGCAGGCAACATGTATCGAAGAGTTTCGATTATCCGAGATCAATCGCCAAAAAGCAATAAAGTACATGAAAGAGAACGATCTTCCAGTAGAAGAACAAAGCTTTGATGCTCTGTTGCCAAGACCTCGAGGATCCAATCTCGCTAATAAATTGGGCTAATAAAAAGCAGAGAGGAACGAGATTTAAGGCAAGAAGAAAACTATGGGAGAGGTCATGATGCGTACTTGCCAGTGATCTTGACAAACAAAAGTGAAGGACGTTTCCAGTGATTTGGCTCCGACCGTAATAGTTCCATCAGGCCACCAACTTTTATCAGGAAGTGACCAGTCGTCCACCCCCCAGTGAAGAGTCTGAACAAGAAACAGGTCCCCATGTTGGTGTCATTGCTTCTGATCTTGTAGTTCAATTTAGTCTGAGAATAGGCTCAAGACGGTCAAGCAACCATTTAAATTCCAAATGTTATCAAAAACACACGGCGATACTGGGCTTGAGCAACGATGCACCTGCGTGTACTCAAATTTGAAGGTTCAGTTGCAAGTGTATACGGTTCTGAATGTATATAGGATACACGGAGTAGCTGCAGCTACTTTTTAACTTAGTCCCAGTATGTGCGTAAAATGGTATCAGAGTTCAAGCTCGGCAGTTTACACTAAGTAGGGTCTATAATGCGAAGCTCAAAATTTCCATTTGCAGATGCCATCACGGCGACTGATCACCTCAAGAGTATGATCGTCAACACTGGACGCTAATCACAGAATAAGCCGAGAACGGAGTCTATCTGTAGTTTTACAAGTTTTTCCCCCTCGAGTGCGGGTTTTGGATACGCGGTATTTACCATATCTGGCTCGCGGACAGTCAATTCCACCTGATAAAATCCCATTTCTCTCAGCACGCGAACAGAAAGCATCTCTCCCTCTTTGAAGGAAAACGTGGAGACTTTAACGTCCATCTGAGGTTCCATCTCGAGTTCCTCCGACGTCGCGGTGCTTCCGAAATGTGTAGTAGTTGAACTGGTTCCACTCAGCGATTGACGCGCTGGTTCGATTGTACTCGGTTCCATGAGTAATCGAGTCTTATGACCAGACCAAATAAGTACCGGATTTGCTAGGCGACTTGACAGCAGGGTTGATCGTTTGGAGAACAGGGAGAGGGAGCAGGATGGTGTCTTGCCCCATGATGTGAAGGTCTGAAGTCCAGGGATGGCTTTACAAAGTTTTAAATCATGAGGACGAGGCTTCTTTCGAAGCTCTCTTCGAAGCTCGCAATCAGGGAATACCACTGACAAGCCCGGCCGAGAAGCCACCAACTGATAAGAATTCATCATTGGAGGGAGCAAGCCTCTCAAGTACTAGCAACTTCAAGTTGGGAAGTTTTACTCTGCCTCCACACGGTTCCCACTCCTCCATAATCCCTTGCTATCATTCTTGTTGACATCCATATTCCTTGTTCCGGATGATTGTCGTGCTTGAGTGAAGTCGATCTACCGGAGTATGAAACGTGCAGGCCAAACCCATAAAGTGGTGAATTTATTTGTCGCGTTCAAGCAAGTTGTTATTGCCTCTGATCATTTATGAGTTACTCCTACGTAGATTACACTCTTCTTGAAATCCTGATCCACATTTGCCTTTTAAATTCGTAGAACTGTTTGTCGATCTCGTGCGGAGAATCCCGGACATTGGTTCCGAGCAAAAGAAGTCGTCATCACCTGAATCTTGCGGGAACGAACTGCCCTAGCCGCATGGCATCCTAAACACCAGCCAATTCAATGTCACGTCCTTCACCTCAAATATCGACATGATCGTATCATGCTGCTGAAGATTTGCGGCTCCTCATTACGCAGACAGCAGGAAAGAAAGAACCGCCATCCCGCCATGCAGCACACGTCCTCGCTTTTCTCTCACATGCGAATTCAAAAGATGCAAAGCAAAAGCCAAGCCCGAAACTAACTAAGGCATCTACTGACAAGATTCTGGAATAGAAATCAACCGATCTCTCTGACCGCTAGTAGTATTAGACAAGATACAAGAGTCTGTAAACCTAACACGAACAAGAAAAGCCTTCTGCACATACGTGGAAAGGGAAGCATACGTGGGGTCGCACGGCTTCACAGACAGACTACAACTGTTTCAATGTTTGTTCAAGTACGGTACAGTGAGGATGTTTCAGTTCAGCTCGAATCGTTCGTTCTCCCTACACTTGATCGAGAATCAAGACAAGAAATCAAGACCAGAGGATGCTGGATCTGTCAAACCAAGCTATACTGACTGCACACTGTAGTCAAACACGGCCCAACTGCAAACGAAAATGTTTCTTTTAAATGGGGTAAAAATAAATACTGGAGACCGAAGTACAAGGGGAGAAGGAAATTGAGATTACGTAAGTCAACAATATACAGATGGACTGGAGATGGAAACGTCCAACACGACGGATAAACACTTTGGAACTTATCTGTTCTTTTCAACTGGGATGAGGCATTAGACGGGCATTTCTTGGGCTAAACAGTCCATCCCATACTCAACGTTGTTGAAGATGCAAGATCCATCTGATTGGAAGAACCTTACACTTTCTCGAAGTCGGAACCGTAATTTGCGATAGGCAGTTAATTTTCAAGGCGACTACGGTAAGAGCAAGAGTGGAAAATATGATATGACACGCGATAGGCCACGTACTTTCATGCTCTTAGACCCAACAGGATGACAATATATTGTGGGGCCTTGCAAGATCGATAAAGAGAAGACCATTCCACTCTGCGTTTGCTCCCATCGATAAATGACGACACCCGATTGTGCACAATTCTCATGGCAAAAAGTAATGATTTAGAAGGAGCTAGACTCTAGAGAGTCGCGCAAAACCAAAGTAGAAGTGTGAGAACGAGGCTAGAAGTTCCAGACGTCGCATTCAGTTCATTCCCTTTTCGTCACGACAAATGGGCGAAAAGATCGTTCAAACATCTTCACAGATACGGATGCCAAGATTCTCTCATCGCTACAATCCGATACGAAAAGTGTGGGACGTCTCTTTGATTGTCGGCCCGACAATGAAAGATACGTCCCAAACACCCTCACAAGTTCCATAAGTGCTCGAATTAACATCGAAGACTCAAGGGACTCAAGTTCGCTCCGTATCATAATTACCATGATGACAGAGTGTTAGTGCAAGCAAAGAACGCAGCGAATTCCCGCAACCCCAACAAGAGTCCAACACATTCGAGCGAAATCGTGCGGACCCGAACCGAATCCGCCAAGCACAGTCGCCACCGAGTCCAGGGTTGAGAAAAGCGTGGCGCTCACGATGCTGCCTGCGGCGACGAGAATGTGTCGCCGCAGAAGGATAGAAGCGAGGAGGAGCTTCAAGGGGGAGCGCCTCCGTCGTCTACAGCGCGGCTCCCCTGTGGGGCCCGCCGCCGCGCGGGGTCCGTTCTTGCGCAAGTCGTGAGGCGCGTTTCGTCCTGCAGCCTCGGGGAGCGCATCTTCGTCTGACGGGGGAGCGTCTCCTGTCGGTTGTCCGGGGTCGGCTTCCACAGTCCCGTGACCGGTCGCGCTCCGGGACTTCGGGCAGATTTACTGTTGTGACCGAGTTGGGCCCGTTTGGCAGCCAGCCACGCAGTCCAGTTTGGCAACGGCCTGCTTGCGGTCATGCGTGTCTCTCGATCCGGTCGACAAGTCCTGTTTTTAGTAACCGCAAAAGTTTGTTGTGTTGCTCTACTTTTTCCACGAAGATTAACGACGGTCAAACCGGTGTATAGAGTTCTTACGGGTCCCAGGATACAAAGTTATGGGTATCGGCTTGTGGTAAAAAAATTGCTAATTACTAGATTACGGCTAAGCGAGGATTTTTTAACACACCCGGAACTCTGAAGACAGTCCCCTAGAATTGATATATGGGCAATGCAAAGATATAGTACGATTTTCTTTAAACGAACCCCGTTCATTTGACAGTCTCTGATCTCATCTTTTATTTACAACATTTACTGAAACTCATTTTTTTAAAGAAAAAATTTAAAAGAAAGAGGACACATAGAAATACAATGACGCTTTATTGTGGCATTTAATGGATGACAGTTAGATTTGTCGTTAAAGACTAGAATAAATATATGAGGATGACAATTGTAGAAGAGTACGAGAAAGATTTGAGGTATGGATCGATTTTGAATGCTTTTGCTTAGTACTGACACTAGTATTATCTTGTGATGGTTTCAAAGCCTTTCCGGATGTCGGCTTCCAGCCACCACGATGGGTTCTTGCATCAGCAACTAATGCTGATGCAAGAGTGCATCCACGTAGAGATGGCGATCAAACAAGTGTTGTGATACCTCATATTCGTCAGGGAACGAGAAGTCATATTGCCAAGTAACGCTTTTTGTTGTCTCTGAAGCTCCCAAATAAGGAATTGACTTTCCCAACAAACTCTAGTGTAACCGCTGTGCTAACGTACGCGAAGTGGTTCTCCGGGATCTCATGGCTCCACTATCTGAAGAATAGAGAGAGTCATGTTGGAAAAGGACTCAACCATCGGGATCTAGTGTGTAGAGCCTTTGCAGGAACAATAAACACCGGGAGACAGTTTGATAGAGAAGCGAGACACGAATGCATTGGTAGGAGTAGATGCACCACTCATACCAAATGTTGTATATATGGTAAGCTGGAAAATTTTACTCGAACAGATGCAAATGAGACCGATTAGACGGTTACTATCCTCAAAAGCCTATAATAAATAAATACGAAATATGAGTAAATAAATAATATTTTCAGTATTAAGATACTTTAAGTTTTCTTCCACAAGCAAATTCGCGTGATTTTATATATTCACAGATCAATTCACTAATTTAATATTTTCTTCATCCAATATCTTCATAGATGAAAATTGTGAAATTTAAGTTTGAAAAGTGAGTATATGCGTTATAAAATAAAAAAAATTAATTGAAATAAATGATCAAAAGTAGTGATAGTGCTATAAGATGCTATAAAAATAATATATATAATTTTCATATCTTATTTTCTTCTACTGTAATCTATATTGAGAGATTTTTCAAAAACTGGTGTCTCAAAAAAAGCTGAGATTGAACGAGAGCTTGTGCAGTACTTCTTTATGAAATTTTCACTAGAAACAATGTCCCAATTTTCTAGTCTGAAGTTTTCTTTCTCAAACTATGAGATCAAATTATAGAAAATAATAATAAGGTATGTTTATGTTTTGAAACAAAGATATGGATGAAAATATTGTCACATCTTCTCTACAGATGTTCCAATTGTGCTATTCTTAGAACTTCTAAGTTAGAAGAGATAAACAAATTTAATGCATCAGCAGACCATATCTTGATTAAACTTGTCATCAATTCAAAAAAATTACATTGGAAGCGAGAATTAAAATCAGTTTCTTGACATCGCTAATTATTCTTACTAGCAGATTCTTGCAGCTATTTTAGAAGTTAAATTGAATATTCTTGCAAAGTCATCAATACGAAGCTTAACAATCAGGTCACAACTGTTGCTAACATCATGGTTTGAGGAGCTCAAACAAGTACACAATGCATTAAGATTGTTGTGAAATGGTCTCATGTGATCTATACTCTACTTGCTTACGAGGCTTCGGCAGTCATGGAGAATGGGTGTAATGATGAAAAAAAATGGGAAAAAAAATTTGACAAAGAGAAAATATAGAAGTCAATGATATTCATATTGAAAGACATGTACAGACACCTATGCAGATTGGCTTTTCACTCAATTCAGGTGGTGATTTCAAGAAACGTACATCCGACAATGCCAAAAATGCAAAAATTCCACCGAGAACAATGCACGTATGAGAAAACGGACGGCATCATTGTAGACGTGATTGATTTCTTGTATACCAATAACAATAATAATAAAAAAAAAAGCTAGCATCATCTACTTTTAACGGTTAGGCTTTTCTTTTGCGGTTACCAGCTTCATTAATGAGGATTCCATTTTTCTTCGACATTTAGGAATCGTCTTCTGACGATCATCTTGGTTATGAGTCCACACTAACGCAGTTTGCGCACACAAGTTGGTGCACCACATTTGAGATATTGGTACTGAACTGTCTAGCTCTAGCATTCCAAGAAGGGGAGGGATAGATGCAAGATGCACACTTCATACAGTAGAGAGGTATGGGTCTAATTTTCTTATATATTTTTTTGCGGTAACACTTGATAAAAAATTTCTTTACCATAATCAGTAAACACGAGAGCATATATATAAAATACTACAATAGAACTTTTACCAAATTAAGGTGCAGAAGTTCTTGAATCATTTACTTTGTCTCCATCAGTCATGATCTCAACATACCAACATCTTGTGTGCAATACCACAGAAGTTCCATATAGTCTTTGATAAATCTTATGAAAAAAAATAAATTTTTCGTTGCAAATAGTGAATTGGCAAAGGCCTGAAATACCTTTGTGTATCCATAGGCAGCTCTTTTGGAGTATTTTCTAGCCAAAAGACCCTCTATCATGCGTATATCAATTTCTTAATAGTTTAGAAAATCAAATTTTCACTTCTGCGTAGAGTACGACATAGTAGGTCTAGCATAAAAACGTCACCAAAACTATTTACGAGAAGAGACTCGCATGTCATACCCAGAAAGTATTATTCTACAATAGTCACAATAATGATCTATGCCATGATTTGTAGTTAGCAGGTTTCTAATTTCCTCATATACTGCAACTCGAGTATTGAAATGTTGTAAAGTAGGAGTCAAGTGCGCAGTTCCAAGTGTACTGATATTATTAAAAAAGAAGAAGTAACCAACTACTACCTCTTTATATTGTACATTATTCTTGTAGATCAATGATAGTGCTACCACGCAACACCTCATGTCGAGATAACGTATGAGTAGACGTGACGGTTACGAGTGTGTGGGAAGCTTGTTGCAACGTAAAGCTCCGATGCCCTTTGAAGTGAAAGATACCCTCCTCTAAAACAACTGGAATCATGACGACAGATATTTGACTCTCTAGCTTAGTCACGCCATCTCTGGAAAAGTAGGAAAAACCGGAAGACCTCATGGGCGTTCAATTGAAGTTTTGAGTATTTAGCGCGAGGGTCTGCGCGAATAGATATGGCAGTACAGTAATATTCTGACCATCGAGAACTGAAACCACTGTCTAATTCAATGATAACCAGCGCTCAGTGAGGGTCTGGACAGTGGTGTAGTGAGCCAGGCTGCAGGATTTCCAGCGTCTAGAAGAGAGGACAATAAAATGGAGCAAAAGAAAATGAGAGTAGCAGAAGATGGAACTCTCACGCTGTGCAGCTGTCCTCCTCCAGGACAGCGGAGCGGACGCATGGACGTTCAAACTTCTCAGGGTCTACGCTGTCAATGAAAAGAATCAGACGAGATCATGGGCAGTTTGAAAAACACTGGTCAACTGAATAAGCGTGACCTTTTTCCAGAGACAGGATGAGAAACCAGTGACCGACTCCGTTCATCAACTTCGGTGGCAGTAGAGAGATAGAGAGAGAGAGAGAGGACGCTGGTTCAAAATCGAGCTGAATGTCAGGTAGTAAAGGAGGGAGATTTAATTAGGATGCTGTAATCATCTTAAGAAGATTCAAAAGCCTTTTCAAAGGCAATATTAGTGAGTGGCCGATTTCATGTCTGTCCGCTTCCAGAGCTCTTCTCTCGCGAAAGGTGATCGCTCATGGAAAGAATCCCTCACCCGTTTGCCGCTCTTTTTTAAAAGACTGACATTCAGTCACAGTCGTTCGGCGCATAAGACATTCGATGCACGAACAAGTGTGACCACACGCCGAGTAAAGTGATACTTCTGATGATGATCTCGTGGTGGCTCGAAGAAAACACCGGTCCACCACTACTGTAGGCCTCGAACAGTATAAGGCTCTCGAACAAAAAAAACGACAGTGAATCTTTGACTTATGTACACACCATACAGTGGTACATTTGTCACTCTCGAATCTATTATAAAACTCGACCGTGGATGGCTGTGCAGTACTTTATCTTTTTGGGTCTTTAAAAAACTTCTTTCCTCCCGAGGCTATCATTCTTTGAAATCTATGTTTTATCTGTACTGGCTTCTTTTACCTTTTCCAGCTTGCTATCAAGCCAGTTGCTGTAGCAACCAAAGATAGTGTCGATCAAAACAACATATACACAAGCTATTTGAAGACGGTCTGCCATTTTCAACAAACATTATGGGAGTTGTAGCATATTGCTGGAGTCTTATCTAAAAAATGGATCTCAAGTCAAGCCGGTTCAAGTTTCGAAAGACCGTCTGAGATCTCGATTCAATCGTCTTAATCGTCGTTTTGTCAATTTTTGCATCTCGGAACACGAGTACTCACAGCTTGGCACCTTAACATCGTGATGAAGAAAAATGGAGATGAACTTCATGAGAGCAAAGATGCACACCGATGCCTTCACATTGCTGTCAACCCTTAAAGTCACATTGTGTGCCAGAGGACAACTTCGCAGAGCAGTCGTCTCATTTGTTTGTGTTTGATAAATATGATATGAGGCAGATCAAGACCACTCCCTTATTGATTGACTACGTGCACTCCGGCAGTAGGTCAAGCGGGTGAAAGTGTCTTCCATCTTGCAGCGTACAAGATGACATCTCTAACCTTCTGGTGGGAAGCGAGAGGCGTGAGACTTTTGCAAAAGGAGGACGGTTTTCCCGGGCTTCTGACCGAAACTATATTCTGAAAGAGCACGGAAATCAGCTGGTGAAATTGCGCTCATGCATGTCTCATAAAAACAAACTTTTGAGAAAAGGTGGACCTTTGCCGAGCGGGTCATACATACTGCACCACAGCATGAAATCTGCCTCCGCAATCATCTCTGATTTTACTGATCTTTGTACTTTTCTCATCATCTGTGAACAGTCGAGTTTTGTCTTTGCATCTTCTGGCCACATTCGGGACGACATGCAACTTCCCATTGAGAATCGCAGCACATGGACTTGATTCTGCTAATGGGAATTTGAACTTCCAGCCAGTGTGTAGAGAACTAGCACCACAGCTGACCTCATTCGGTCTTTCTCAGGTGCTTCCATATGCTAGAAACGTCAGCTTTTGAAGTCCACCGCCATACTATAGCCACTATAGCCACAGGTACAACAGGCTAGTCCTCCGTGTCCCATTCACTTTCACATGAAAACCAATGCAGTGCCTCTGATTTGTAGTGTTCCGAACAGGATAGAGGCGATAGAGGGCCGAGGAGTAGCCTCAAAGTCGCAGGACTTCGTTAGACGACACCATTGCCCTCGTAGGTATTTCAACGTTCAACACTTCAGAAATTCTGCCCGTTATTAAATAGTCAACGATTTTTTTCCATCTTCATAATCTAACTGATGAAATTTAAATCCACGACATTCTTGCAATCTTTTCTTATGAACTCATTCTACAATGGCTTGTAATCTTATAGGATTTTTCAATTCAAGGAGATATTCCCTCTTTGAAAAATAAAAAAACTTATGACGTCTTATAGATCCTATGTGACAGAATTCAGATTTACTTGTTGATGTTTACATATCAGTGTTATTTTTGATAATATTTACACTTGTAGGAGTTGAATCAAATTTCAATAAGATGAAAGTAAACATATGCATAGAATATAAATATGTTGCAGAAATTGGAACAAATATAATTTTCCAAAAACTAAATGTTTAATATCACCATGTATATAAATAGATAAATCCACCAAGAATTTTATGTTGACTTATTTTTGTATATGAAATGAATATATAAATATAAATACATACATGGTTTAAACTCATAAAGACACATAGAGCTTTTATATCGATGCTCCTTTTGTACAATCGTAATAAATTGAAGATACATTCATATGGATGTGGATAAATAAAAGATGGATCGAAAGGCTTTCTCTTGAGCCGTCATGTCGTTGTGTGCCATCCCTCCTGAACACTTTAACCGTCTCAGCCACAAAAGACTCTCGAGAAAATCAACAAATGGATGGAATTACCCCCCATCAAGTCTTGCAAAGAAGTAAAATAGGACCTCTTCTTATTTGAATGGCATTTAATCGAGTACCGACGTGAAAAGAAGATATAGAATGTGGAAATGGTAATTTTTCAACTGAATAGACTGAATAAATTTCTTCTAGAAGAAGTAAGTTTCAGATCATTTCTGGTTTTCACCTCGTTCTCCTTTCCCAATTTGATTGATATTGATATGGAGCTACAAGAATTTCCATCCATGACCGTGTCTCACAAAGGATATTCCCTATAACAAGGTAAAATTTCATAGAACCACGAGGCTTGACGATACTCTAAGCATAAAGAGTTATGGAAGGCTACTCGTACATAGCACGAAGCTTTTACTTCCAATTCTCACATTTCAAACGATTATTTATCCTTGACAGGGTTCATGATCACTACAGTACTGAATGTTATTACACCGTATAAATTCACATGTGAGGACCGAAAGGACAGAAGACCGTGTAGATGAAGGAAAAGAAGCCGGCAAAGCAAAGAAAGTGGACATTGTAAAGAGTTATCCCTGCGTACTGTACTGCATATATGATTGCTAGATGGATTCTGTACCAATGCTACGTTGAACTGTTCAAGGAAAGAGTGACAAAAATCAATCACCGCAACCAGTTCCGTGGCCACTTTCTTGACTTTCAGCGTTCCACTCACCACTCGCGTTTGAATCAGTGAGGCGAGCACTCACCGGCTCGAGCTTGCGCTTTGCGGTACGGTTCCCGATTTCCCGATTTCCCGATTTCCCGATAGCGGCCGAGCGAACGAACGATGCCATCGAGACTCGCAAGTTGCCAATTGAACTTCCCCAGAAAAGTTCCTCTTGCCGCGCAGGGCGTGACGCGGGACGCAGCGGCCAAATATTCGCGAGTCTGGAGGCGTTTGAATGCCGTACGGGATATACGTACCTCCGCCCTGTCCTACACAAACGCTTCGCTTTCTGTCTTCCCTCGCGTTGATGGGGCTCCGCAGGCGAGGACTGTGAGGTTACTGTGACTTGCTTTGACGATCCGTGTACAAGTTTGAGACATGCCTGGACACGTGTACTGGACATGATCCTCCATACTGTATTTCGTGACCGACACGTGGATCGAGGATTTTCAAAGACAGGTAAGACGGCATTGGTTACACCATCGCAACCTTCTCTTTCAGAGTTTGTGCTCCTCCGTTCCGCCCCGCCCGGCTCGTGATTCTTTGGACATCTTCCGGTCGCAGGTGACGTGCCGCTCGTAGAGTTTGGCTGCACTGAGAAATCCCGGGCCTTTCCATGCTCTCATGCCGAGAAATCTGAAGATCGGGACATCCTACATCGTTCTCTCATCTTCTCTTGCATTTGCGCAAATTTCATGAGTCTTCCGTGAGACAGTGAACAATTTCCTCGTCCTTTCTTCTTCTTCTGCAGCAGTTAAACGTGCTGACCTTGTATCTAGGCATGTTAGAACGACACCGACATTGGATATAGTGCAATACCATAGCTCCCTAGAAATGTGTTTAATGTGATTTTTTATTTTAGTTCGTTTAGCGATTATCATTTGTTTACCCAGAAATATAATTGAGACATCATAAAAATAATACATACATGTACATCATTGGTCAACCATACATATGTCTATCACTTGATAACCTTAGACACCAAAGTAATATGGCAAAAGTATGGGAAGACCCCAGGAAGTATAACAAGAATAAAACCAAAAGGGCAAGAGGGGGCTAGTCCCGAATATCATCAGAATGGGAGTTTCATAGATATCTGAATTATGTAGATTAGAAGTTCTACTATAAAAAACACTACATATGAAGAAACAATATTTACCGTGGTTTTCTCACTGCTAACACTAACTATTTATTTTTCAAGAAAGAATCGGACATGTAAAAAAAATATTATTATTTTTTATTACTTTCAAGATGATGATATGACTTTTCCATTCTCTTTTAGATGTATATACACACACACACTATAAATTTTCAAAAGAGTAGATAATTATTCATGATATCGACACTACTTACCCATATTTTTTGAATCTATCAATAGGAATAGATATATTACTCTATAACCCTTCTTCCTAGAAGTGAAAGCCTCTAAATAGTTTCATTTATAAGTATTTACTATTTTGAAGTTTGCAATTTTATATTGGAGATAAATGTAAAATTTTATAAAAACATGACTGTAAAACTTGTTTTATCCCAAAGATTTGGAAATATACGAACATTATATCTAGTCAATACAAAAGAGTTGAAAATTAATGAATGAAAAATATATTTCATCGTTTAAGATAGTACTGACTATTGCAATATCTGAGAAGGTAATTCTTGGTAAAAAAAACTAAATTATAATTTACATCAGAGATGAATGAAATCGAAATGAAATGAAAGTAGAACACAGTATTGCGAAAAATAGATTGTGTAACCATACGGAATAAATGAAATTGCACGTAATATAGAGAGATTGTCAAATTTCTCCAGCCTACAAATATTTACAAATGTGACAACCAAAAAAAGAGTTCAGTTATTATCCTAATTATCAAAGTTAGACTTGATTGTGATTGTTTGAACACCAAATCCCATTCTAAGGCAGTTTGTATACAATCTGAGCCATTGCAGGATGTTTCATTAGTTGAGTAAAGTCATAGGATTACAAATGGTAAAAAGTTACCAATAACATAGGAAAAATGATAATAATAGTTAAAAAAATGTACATGAATGAATTCAAAGGTAGGATAATCTACACTCTTAGCTATGCAAGTAAAGTAAATTTACATACCAATTAAAAATTCCAAAATGATATTGACTAATGAAGGATGGATGTCAAAACATTGCAGAGATGAAATAAGGTAGATGGATGGAGTAAAGAACCTTAGATGCATGCAAGTCCAGATCACTGGCAGGATTGTTGATATGCAGAACCATATGTGAAGGTAGTAAAGATACAATCACCCAGAGACTTGAATGAAGGTACTGATTTTCATTTCCCAACCTTTGTTCACATGCGAACGATGATATCCAACAGTAGCAGAGGCGGGAAGTATTTTTGTTTACGGAAGGAACGTCGGACATACTTTATAATGTAGCTATTAATTTTCGTACATTCGTCGCGACCTTCAATGAAAATAAGAGTATTTTTATTCCGTAATGCCATGTACAGTTCACTTCATCTTTTGGGTCGTGGGGTGAAGTGAAAGGACATAAAGGGTTGTCACTCACCTGTCAACCGCTGGAATGAAAATGGGGAATTTGGTGGTCAGAGAATTTCAGACATTAGAATCATAATTTTGGACACATGGTGATGAAATTAACACGAAAGTGAATCAGGTTGGGGAAATTGTACATCTTCAGTAGTTCATGATTGAGACAGATTCGATAGAACTTGTTCACCATCAACTGTATTCACGCTTGAAACAGATGACGTTGTGTCGTGGGAATCATTGTGAGTTACATACAGTACTCGGTACTGCTCCCTCGTCGCTCACAAGAATAGTACGTACCATCAGACATAAATCCGGATCGATCAAGGAAGAGGAAGCCTGGCTGTTAACTGATCATATTCTCCACAACATCTGAGATGACATGTAAAGCTGTCACCCTCAGCCTGCATTTACAGAAGGGACAAGCCGGAACTACAAAATGTTTGCATGCACTCGGAAGCTCCCCGGCTGAAGAATCATGTCCTGTCATTTGAACCGGGACGCGGCACAAGCTCCAACGCACTGAGCTCGGATCCTCGAGATAGACAGACTTAACAAGATCTGTTCTGAGTGTATTGACGGTGTTATGCGTCATTGCGTCACAGCTCGAAGCTGGAGAGACAGTCAATACTGTAGTGTCACAGCCCTATGCATGAATGAGTCCATGGCTGCTCGCTCGGCTGACCGGGTTCGCGTAATGATTTGAAGTTTGAATTTGAAAACCGGCGCACAGAACCACTCACGACACGAGGGGCTACCGGGGCTTCCCGGGGAGGGAACGGACTCGATGGAGATCAGATTTCGATCGCGGTCTCAAGACGGCTGCTTCCGGTGGATCGATCGATGCCAAGGTAGGATCGCTCAACGCTAGGTTCGATTTATCGTCGGACGGTGATGCATTTACATTCACACACTCGCAGCACATTCTCGAGCATCTTTCCCAAAAGGCGCGAAGAAGGCAATGGCATGGCCACTTATGGGAAGAAGGTTTGCCCGTCAAGACCCCGGCGGATTTTGCCAGGACACGAAGGCATAAAAGAAGAGCAAACGCACCGAAATCCCAGAAATGATGGCCTCGTATTGAATCGAGACCTTCGTAATTGAACACACTTAGAAGGAATCACAACGTTCTTGCAACGTATACTATACACAATCTTTGTAGTATCTCTGTATTTTAATGCCGATTAGCATACGAGGAATGCATGATGCATACAGACCAATAATCCGTGCACTATTAAATTAAATCATTAAAAAGCCCTGTTTAAAATTGATGATCAATGATTATTTGCAGTGAGCAATAGGTCACCCTAGCCACAACTCATACTGTATGTAAAGGCCTACAGCGCCAACGATCCACTCGGCCCCATGCCCATCCCCCAAGTGGATAAAAGTGGGAGCCTGAGGGGCAGGGACCAGCGGCCTCGGTGCCTCTACTTCCATGATCCATATCCTGAAGAACACAGGCTGTCTGCGAGAAATCTATCAGAGGTGGCGACTCCGCAATTATTAGCGGTCAGCACCATGCATTATTAACTTACGCTTAAACTAATACTTAAATACAAGTTCGAGTTCCGTGAACCGATTTACTTACGTCGATGCGCTGGGATCTCCCCTTCGTAACGGGGACCCGGGGGAAGGGGAGAGGAGGCGGGGGGGTCAGTCCTGCACAGTTCCAGTCTGATGACCGGCTGACCGACAGTCTGCAGCCAGTTAACCAACTCCCACTTAGCTGTCCCCTGCGTGCACCCTTTGCCGCTGCGAGTTGCAGTCCGTCTAGTCACAAGCCCGCGGGCGGTTTCAAGTTGCGAGAGGTCGCTGATCCGGTTCCTGAGCGTGCATTCTAAATTCATGCTGCGCGTTCCCGCGGTTCTGCTCGCCGACGTGGATCGGCGCACATTGGGTGCACTACAGAGCCTAGATCCGGCATCGATCTGGTGACTGTTGTCCATAAGTTAGAACTTTTTGTCCGCGGGTTAAACTTCATGGATTTGGTCGCCACTGCTCGTCCCGATCGTTCATCTTGCAAGCGCACTGTGCTCGTACTCGTATCCTACCTGCATTAATTTCACTCTTGTAGGTTTAGTGTTGTACTACATGTTGTTACATACATATTACAATACTTTCTTCAATACCATCGTGTGATGTATTTCGGTCAACAATTATTTTGAGATATTTAAATTTATGTAAATTACAATAACTTAATAGGAAAAGGAGACAGTTGGATGTAGAATGCTTTTATTAGATAGATAGAATAATATAGGTAGTTTGTGATTTTTTGAAGTGTGATGCTATTGGGGTCTAACCAAAATCGGTTGTTATTTTACTGAGAATTCTCATTCTCTTAAGGCTCGCCTACGGAAATATCACACATAGCTTTCAAAACTCTGTGGAAAGATCCCACTTTGATACCGGTGGGTCCGACTTGCTTCTCAGAAATGCGAAGAGCGCTGGGCCAAGCAATCCATACCAGGCAGCTTTGATATTAAAAAAATAAAGAGCTAGGGGGTGAATATTCTAAAATATGTCTTCGGCACGGACCCTTCCCGTTCAAGGAGATTCAAGGAACGCTTATGGCGCCTCGGAGCGTCGGAGCCACTCCGACCATAAGCACGCCATCCAGAAAATGTCCGTTACGCGACCCTCAGTGGGTTCGTTCTCGTGAGCATTGTTTCGAACGAGCGATGTCCCGTTCCATGCGCGGAGGCGCATTCGTCTTCTGGGAGGGTGGCGCTGCAGATTTCTTTCCGTCGTCTTCCGCATGCTCACACTGCTGGCTTTGGACTTTCGCTGCCTGCTATGGCTGTTTGTACCTTCTGTCCTCGGTCTTTCGTTGTAGTGGCTTGCATGTTGATCAAGCTTCAGCAAATGTGTCGCCTCGCATGATCTTTTGATTTGGGCGCTTTGTTGCACGTACGGTTCTTTTTGGTTTCTTGGACGGCTGACATCAGAGGCGTCACATGGTCTAGCCAAACGAACGATCTCGCTCCTTTCTCCTCAGAACTAGCTCTTTCTGTTCTACAGTTCGTTGAAAATATCTTCACGAGGTGATTCTGCGTCCGGATCCAAGTCTCGTAATCTGTGAAGAAAGAGCGGTTGACATATATATAATCCGTCCGGTGCAAATATCCAGTTACATCGCTTGCTATGATTTCCTCTCAATTTTCCCTTTGCACTTATTGGACACGGAATCGAAGACATCAATTGTGAAACAATACTTTCAATATAATCCAATATAGACGTGTCTACATAAACACGTCGATTTTATATCCGTGACACCCATTCGTTTGGAGATATTCTAGACGACATAGTTTGGAATCCCAACATGTGCTCGAGCCGTTGCTTCAGCTTTGCATCAGATTCCTCGTAATATGGCAGTATTGGGTTTGTTAACATACCCGAGTCGAAGTAATTTCAGCATAAAAGCACGTAAATGATTGCGACGAAAGTCTTGTCTATGCGCACAGTGTTGTATATTTGATTGCATAAAGTTGGGAATCAGCGAACGAATAATATTGATTCTTCCGGCCATTGACTTTGACGAAGAGGATCGAACAGCCCGGGGCGGCTGTGCTCAGGTCAGGGGCTGGGTTCGGCGCGCGGTCGAGGGTTAAAGAGCCCAGCGTTTTCGCGACGTCGCCAACAGTCAAACCGTGGGGCCCGCACGGGGCGAGCCCGAAAACATTCAGTTGAACGAACCTTTTCCAGGTCTATTTTTGGAGTCGGTCACCTCGCCCGGTGACAAATATCCTGATCGGCCAGCGTCAGGAGAGGGAAGCCCGCACGACGACGGAAGATGCTCGGCGAACGACGGGCGCCAGAAGGTGACGAGAGGGCGCCCGACGCCGGCCCGGGTCGACGCCGGAGGCCACGAGCTGCGCGACGGCGAGGTCTGGCACCGGGAACGTCTGTGGCGCGTCTGCAGGCCTCCATTGGTCGCGAAGAAGAAGAAGAAGAAGACCGGCTGGACCCCACGGGCGAGAGTGTCGCCAAATTGGCTCCACGGAATCTGGCTCTAACTATGGAGCGGAGCGTCGGGCTAGCTGGCCGGTTGGCCGGCCGGCTGGCTCTAGCCAACAGTGGCTGCGGCTCCGGTCTCGGTGGCTCTCTCGCAGTCTCGTCTGGCAGGAAGTAGAGAGAGGCGCCGAGAGAGCAGAGGGCTCCGCGCGAATCCGAAGCGTGTGGAGTGCGTGAGAAAGAGGAGGATTGGAGGGAAGCGCAGAGCAGAGCAGCAGCAGCGGGCGGGGAGCGGGTCCGAGACGCTCCTCTTGCTTGCCTGCCCGCCGAAGAAAGCGAAAGATTGCGAGGCGAGGGGAATGGCAGCAGCAGCAGCAGCGTCGTCGTCGTCGTCGTCGTCTTCTTCGTCTTCGTCGTCGTCGAGACGAGCAGAGGGAGGAGGAGGAGGAGGAGGAGGGGCGCTGGCAGGAGGCAGGCCCGAGAAGTAATAAGAAAGAGGGCCAGAGGGAAGGCTGCGTTGCCTTGGCTGGCTCTGTGTCTGCCCGCCCGCCCGTCCGCCCGGCAGCCAGCCCGCCCGCCTGCCTGTTTGTTTGTACGTCCGTCCTTCCTTGGCTCCTGTTGGAGTGAGATTGAATGCGACGGATGATGACATTTTGTGTCTGAGATCGGATGGATGAGCGAGCCGGGAGGGAAAGATCGATATCTCGGTCAAAGGAGAAAAGGGAATGAATGATGCGAGATAGTTGGAAAAGAGGAAGCGGAAGTGGGCGAGCAGAAGGAAGGCGTGCTACTGCTGCTGCTGCTGCACGGGCAGAGTAGAAGGGAAAGGAAGGAGAGAGAGGGAGAGAGAGAGAGAGAGAGAGAGAGAGATCTGTAAGCGAGCGCAGGGGGGAGGGGAGAAAAGGGAGGGAGGGAACGAATGAGTGGGTGGGATGTGAAGTAGCTGTAGTGCGTGCGACGAGGAAACGACGCTGTTGATGTTCGTGCTGGTGATTCCGTTGCGCTCTTCCCCGGGGGAGGTGTTTGATGCTAGGGTGGCTTGCAGGCGAGCAGAGCAATTTTCTTTGAGCGAGGGATGGTTTGCCGGTGCAGATGGTCGTAACGAGGACTGAGCGGACAGAGAGACGTAGAGCGAGGTAGATATGTCGGAGAGGTTCCTGGAGGCAGGGACCGGGTTGTGACAAGCGGTCGGGTTCTTTGGCTTCGACTGTCTGCCGTCTTCTGGTCTCCAGCCAAGCTATTGTGATAGTTCTGTCACTTGAAATCCCCTGGAAATTCCTCCCGGCTCCTCGCCTGTGTCTGTTTCATCGCTTCCTGTCGTGCTGTGATGTGTAGTTCAGAGCAATACAGAGCGGTTGGAATGATTTAGATCTCCGCGTTGGCGTTTCAACCCATTTTCTCCAGGTGCTTATGCCAGGGGCTTTGAAGAAAAGGATCGCGCACGATGAATGGTGTGGACCATTGCACTGGTGGTTCATGTGATCAATTCGAAATTTTCCTCAGATTGGACGTCAGGGACCTTACTTTGGTCAGAGGAGAATCGTAATCGATTTCATCTGCGGTCGTTATTCACGTTTCGACGTGTTTTGGCTCCCAGCTCGTCGTCAAGCAGTCATAATCCAATATTGGGTCTTCCGCCTGGTGACGTCCACTGTATTGGGGGTACGAGTTTACATGGGCATTCCCGTACGGTCCCAATGATTATATTCACATTCGCTGACATACAGGCTTCCTCTCTCCAGTTAGTGGCTGCAATATGAATAAGGATTAGTTGGCAACTTAAATTCTCGGTTAGGCAAGCAGACATGGGGAATTCTTTTGGTTGCTCCGCAACCGGCGAGCGCCTTGTATCTGCGGCGCGAGACGGTGATTTCCAGGAAGCGCAGGCTCTATTGGAGTGTAATCCTCGACTTGCAAAGTATTCTACTTTCGGTGTTCGGAACTCCCCACTGCACTTCTCTGCAATGCAAGGTCACACCGAGGTTTGACTTACTAGTCCTTCTGAACAGTGATCCCAGTTGAAATTGTCTCTGCAGTAAAACCTTTCTATATCTTGAGGCCGTACGCCCCACGTGAATGATAACGGCTTGCAAGTACATTCGTCGGAGTTGCCTCCTTCCAAGACTCGCGAACGCCTTATTGAGAGGCTGCTGGTTTTAGTTTCGTACGTTGAAATATGTCACCGGTGCATTCCTAGTGGATTCTACTGTCAATCACGACATTCCTCGAAAGTAAATGAATCTGCTGCTCTCTGCTTGCAACCTAACCTCTCGCTTCTTTCATGGGTCGTGCCACTTGCAGATAGTAACTTTGCTTCTGGAGTGTGGGGTGGAGGTTAACACCCGAAATTACTGCGGCCAGGTATACGCCGAGGATCTGCATGTGATTGAATCAGATATTAATTCTTACTTTGGTTAGAGATTAATTTTTTGTCGAGTTTAGAGCTTGCCCCTGCCTTGGCGGTATTTGCAAGTATTTTGGCGAGGAGACAACTCTTGCTCAGAAAAAATGGCTGATCCGTTTTATGCTGTGTTTCGTGGGCAGACTGCGCTTATGCAGGCTTGCCGGTACGGTCATTGGGAGGTTGCTCAGACTCTGCTTCTGTACAAAGCAAATGTAAGAATCTGCGTTATTTTCTCCTTACCTCTCTCGTCTGTACGCGGAGAACCGCCTTCGCGCTTGGTTGAAATTGCTTATTGAGGAAATGCAAGGTTTCGATATTCGTTGACCTCTGCACGGTCCGACAGCTAAACATCTAGAATTTTACGCATGTCAGGTCACTAGAGCAGATTATCTAAATGGGAGGACAGCACTTCATTTTGCGGCCCGCAACGGCCACGCACGCTGCATACGACTTGTTGTCGCCGACTATGTGCCTAGTGTGCCCTATTTATGGAATACTCTGCAAGTCGACAAGCCGGAAGATACTCCCACCATGAAGAACTACATGGACCGAACGTGAGTTTTCTCGTAATTCTTGACATATTTTGCGAACGTTGGAGCAGACTTTATTTTCGAGTGATGCTTGTCATCTCGCACTCTAGTGCTCTCTCATCCCAAGACGAGCCTCTTCGCGTTTCACTCTGCAATGGTCTTAGACCTACTTTTAGCGTCATTGATCTTGCGGAAGCTGATGCGTCATGTCACACATGGAGTGTCCCGTTATCAAAGGCAGTCATTAAATTGAGATTCTTCTGGGTTTCTGTAGTGCGCTTTCCAGGCTCGTGAACAAGCCTGCTGATGGTGGTATATGTGCTCTTCACATGGCTGCTCTGAACGGGCACACGGAGTGTGTTCAGCTACTTCTGGACTTGATGGCGAACGTCTCGGCAATTACCGTTCAAGACGGCACCACCATCGATATGATAGGTAATTGTGTGTGTTGTTATTCACGTCAAAATTCACGGGTCGCCCATTATGCCGTTTATTAGGAGCTGCTTTGCTGAGTTCCTGTGTCTGTATTCCAGCAGTAGTTTCAGTTTGTAGTTTTCGTTATACGCTCTGGCGTTTTTTACCCCTTGGAATTGAACTTCCCTCTGGTCCCTGATCCTGACGCCGTAATTCTGCTTAGGTACAGGTGCAGGCAGTACCCCATTGCATTACGCAGCTTGTGGTGGTAGCATTCCTTGTTGTCAGGTAGTGTTCTCTACATTCGTGTTGCCTCTATGTATGAAAAGTCGACACGGTCTTTTGTTTGTCAAGACAGTAGATGAGATCCATGAAATCGAAGGGAGCCAACGAGTTGGCTAGGGGTTTTCTTGCCATTCTTCTTTCGTGCCTTTCAGTCGCGAGGACCAAATTTATAGACTCCTCGTAGAAGATACATCAACGAAACAAAATATGACAGTGCTTTTTTTCATGCTTTTTGTCCAATGGCGGGGATTCTCTTGAGCATTTTGGGATGAGCTGTGGTGATGCATATATTCCAATCAGCTAATACCTTGTCACTCTTGTTTCACAGGCTTTGATTTCTAGGGGAGCTTTACGCAATGTGGCTAATTGCAATGGGTGAGTTGTATTTCACCAAATCAGAAATCAATCGAGTTGAAGCAAGCGACTTGGTTCAGAATGTTTTTGACCGTTCCACCTGCATGCCCTATAAGCGTGTGAAAGCACGTACCTTACACCTTTCTTAGGGACTCGGGGCTCCATGTATTGTTTCCCGCTTTTTTTTGGTTTCAACCAACTTATCGATATCTCGTGACAGATGGACGCCACTACAAGTAGCTCGACTATGGCGCAGACATTGGCTGGAACCTCTATTAGCACCAGATTCTCAACTACCAATCCCATCGTTTCCTCCATCGCGTTATTTGGCACTCCCTCTTATGAGCATCATGCGAATTGCAAGGTGACCCTTAAATTTAACCGCACGCATTGCGACCTGAAACTCTTTTTTCAATCAATTGTATCCAGAAGTCAAGTGACCCTTTTAGAGTACCATCGTGGCTTCGTGTTTGTTGTGCGTCTTTCGAGTTTATATGCTATATTAGAAAATCTTCCTTATTGTGCTTTCAACCTTGCATGATTTGCAGTGAATATAGGAATGTCCTGAATGTTTCTGCCACATCACTCACTAATCGCTCACTTGTGTCTAACCATTTGAATGCGCAGAGATTGCGGATGGAGGGATACGGATCATGCTCCTGGAGGAACAGATCCTTGCGCTGTATGTTTGGAACGCAAATGCACAGTAGCTGCAGAAGGTGTGTTGCGAGTTTTCAGTGGACTGAACTGGGTCTCTCTGATTGCATGCTCTTCAGAAGCATTAAGTTTCAGGTTCTAAGATGACCTGTGTTTTTCTGCAGGGTGCGGTCACGAGCTATGCACTAGATGTGCCCTGTATCTCAGTACCACGATGAATGTGTCTTCAACTGTGACCAATCCTCCTGGTTCTGTCCCATGTCCCCTCTGCCGCCGTGGTATTGTTGCGTTTGACAGACTTCCTACGACCATCTCGTACAAAGAGATGGCCAAGGCAAACATGACTCTCGCTTTGTGTACAACGTGCACGGCCGAAGTATGTGAGCCCACAGTCATGGGTTCTCTCTTGAGCAAAGTGGACTTTCGAGGCTGCCGTGTGTCGCCACTTTCCTCGAGTTCAGCTCGCATTACCTGCCCCAGTTTTTCTGCTTTAAATTTGTCCCTGAATTGCAGTACGACGCAGAGTGTTGGGGACTCTCCTGATTATGAGAGTCCCGAGCAATATGTCTCAGCGAGAACGTCCACAAGAACGGAGAGCACCGAGTGGACAGCTGCTGGTGATGGTGATTCTACTATTGAAGAGACGCTTTCGTCTTCAGGCTTGGTAACGGCGACCCATCTTCCGTCAGCCGCTGCTGTCGTTCATATTGCCCCCTCTGGTCAAGACGAGCCCACTAAACACTCCAAGCAATTTGCTTGCTGTCGAGTACGAACGAAATGTGGATTTCCGAAGGTGTTTTACTGGAGGCACTACGGTGGTGTGAATATGACAACTGCCCAACCGTATTAGGCTGCCTGCGAATGATTTGTACAGTTATCTCTTCTTTTAAATTATCGGGAGAAAGTCCTGCAGCTCTAGAGTCCCCGTTTGGTCTGGCTTTGTCCACGTCCAAAGTTCCATGAGAGAAAGCCTTCCACGGGGATGTCGAGCACACTGCCTGCCGAAAGTGTAGCTCTTCACTTCTCGACTGACCTAGCTCTAGGATCTTTATTAGGAAGACAGAGGAGACATTGGATGAAAAAAAGAGTGAATCGACTGCCCGCTTCCGCGAAAAGAAAATGTTTCATAAGGTGGATATGATAGATGATATCAGATAGTTTTGTACCTTTCTCGAAAAGAAGAATCCCTATAATGGACATCATTGGATAGGGTGCGGTGCTAGTGTTCCATCTGTGGGGCGAAACATGTATGTGGTGGAAGGTCAAGTATGCACCGAACGTGCGTCTAACCTGGAACAGCCTAGAAGTCGACCTTGCTTCAGCAATGTAGAGGCTACTTTTACTGCGAAAACAGCTACTAATTTGAGTCAGCAAACCCCAGTGCGAGAAATTAAAATTGGACTTGGATTACCTGGTCGTGATGACCTGCACTCTCCTCCTTTCTCTGAGCAAGCAGGCATGCCATGACTTGTCTGGGGATGTACCCAAGAGGTAGTGTGCCGATGTACATCAGATTCCAGCTATATGTTTTTGGCTATTAAATTTACGAGCACCCAAAGTACACAGATAATTTCTGATGTCGTATGTCAGTCAATGATTATTCTGGGAGATTTTGAAGCTGTTGGGATCATATTCTTGATCGGATGCTTGTATGTATGCCATGTGGGCGATCTGTACTTGGGCCGTGAACGTGCACCACACTACAGAGCTGCACGTCAAAGATTCGGTTGTCAGTCAACAGTTTGGATCATCAATGTACATTTGAAAGGACGCTTTACGGTGATACTCAGGATGTGACAGGTTGCAGGGACTTGCTTGCATCGACGATGGCTTCTCCCGACCTGCAGCACGACCACGCGGACCGACCACTTGGGCTTGCGGCTCTCGTCAGAGGACAGGACAAAGCTGTGAGCCGAAAGCCTGCGTCTGCCTCGTTCATGCGGCACGATGCTGATGAAATTAGTGTAATGGACCTGACACCTGGGAACTCACAGTACACTGTGCTGCAGGTTTCGACCGTACATGCTTTGACATTCGTCCACTCGAGTGTGACTGGTTTCTGTGGAAGAGCCGTTTTAGCGAAAGTCAAATTACGTAGCCTCCTGAAAATTCTAGACTTGTCCAAATGTGTTTCCCGACAATACTTTTCGGCTTGTGGCAGAGCACCTAAAACGCGCTTCCTTTATCAAGCTCGTGGTAATAACTTTATTAAATTCGAAGTAGCAGCACATGCCGTAGCCTATTCACTGGGTCGTATCACTCATGCCTGTCTGTCAGTTGTGCGAGAGCTCTCTAGAGCGCCGGACTCTGGAAACACGGGTTCGTTTTCCATCGATGCCATTTCATGGTGCCCTAAAAAGACGGCTGATTCTAGGTCCGCAATGCGGACCTAGAATGCAGTTGTGCATGCGGACTCCGCATGCACAACTGCTGTCTCAACTTCATCTTCAGTTTATGAAGTACACGCTGCGCTCTTCCTCTCCATTTCGGCTTCTGCTTTATCATCCGGACGTTCCGAGGCACTCCAGAGGATCGGATACAAGATCGTGCCGATCACGCTCTGTTCAAAAATGTGAGTACCCTCACCATGTCAGCGAGCCATTCGGTGGCTGGAATGCCGGATGAATGATGTGCATATGAGCTTCTGAACAGAACGATTGGCGACAACACTGCTGCCAGGAGAAGACGGTCACACTATCCAGACCTCTGTCCAATGCTTTTTCTTCAGAGCATCCCTCGGATGAGGACTAGATCAAAAGTACTGGGCCATCTGCAACTCCTTGGGCTTGAAGCCGCATTTTTCGTAGAATGGAGCATTAGCCTCGGTGCAATCAAGGATAACCTGCTCAGACCGAGACATGAGAGCTTTCATCAACCGAGGATCTCTTTGACCAATGTGAACACCGCACGATGATCGGCAAAGCACTTATTGAAATGGACATCAAAATTACAGGGCCTATTATACTCTAAAAAAACTACGTGAAAAAATTTCAGCAAGAGCAGAGTATGGAATTCAAAGATTCACCATCAACCCACCTTGTAACAGCCGAGCTGTTCAGCTAATCCTGCGAGGTGACAAACAACTCTGCAACACCCCAATAATCACCACAGTAAATTAGTACGTTGCGACGAGTATAAGTAAGAGTTTCAGCAAAATGTATAAGATTCTCACAACAAAAGCAGATTTCAGATTGCTCACTGGAGTATCCACTGATTATTCCACATGACCAAAATCGATTTCTTCACAGACCTTCCTCTCGCATACATATGACCATGTTCATTATCGATGACTGTACCAGTCGGACGTTATTCCCTCCAATACACTTCCAGTAAATCAAACATTACTATTTGACCGCTCAGAGTAAAAGACTCAAATTTTCGATTTACTGAGATTTTCCGGCAAAAGGTCGTGCAACCAGATAGGCAACCAAGGAGAATCAGCAAGCATAAGTTTTCCTGTATCATCATGCGAACGCAAATACTTCCACCTGCTTCATCCGCTTGTCGGAATCAGCGGTTAAAGAACTCATTTGAACGCTGAGTTGGACTCAGACAGACTAGCGTTGAATGAGCAACATTTCACAACATTAGCTTTTTGGCACATGGGTTGAATGTAGGGTGAGTTCATTCCAACTTTCAAATCCATGTCAATTTGAACAATACCTTTTGATACAGTTGCACAAAACGACCACCGAAACCTTTCTGACGTCATTGTTGAGAATATTTTACTGACTCCGCAAGAAAATAAAAAACTCGACTTTAAAAAAAACAGCTAGTTTTGCTCGACATTGGCCATATCTGCAAGGTTCGTAGAAGATGACTCTATCCTTATGTGAACTTGAAGAAGTGAAAGCGGAAGAAGTTGAAAAAAGCGGAGGATCGCACTCTTCTATGCATAAGACATCACTCATCAGAATGGTTGGGATATATGAGATCACCCATCAGATCAAAGAATTTGAGCATGCCATCAGGCTGCTGAACCTACACACAATCTCGATCTCCAGAAACCGCTCGTGTTTTCTACAATGACATGAACCTGAACTTCACTCTACAGCAGTCGCAGCGCATAAAAGAGAGCTTTGGTATGTATCTGTTGGTACGAGAGACGTGCCTAGACAGAGATTAACTCCAAGGAAAGTGAGAGACAGTGAAACATGAATGTTGCAACTGTTTCAGAGAAGAGCGATCGATACATGTGAAGGGAAGAGGGCAGAGCATAGATCAAAGACGTAATGGGAACTGGCCGACTGAGAAGCAGCTGCTCATGTACTTTTCCTCCAATAATGGTCCATTGAAGGTCGTATTACTCTAGGATGTTCGTCCATCGTCCACTTAAAGACACATATAATGTAACAACTTGAGCGACCTATTCATCCCTCGGCTGGAAGAAACGCGTTAGCTAATACGTTGAAAACTGTTAGGAACAGAATGTACAGGCTTTTTTGTTTTCTGCGCCCTTTGCTTGTTTTGATACATTACAGGGTCGAGCCAGACAACAAAAAAGGATTCGCTGATGGTTCCAGATTCTAGGTTCATATTGCCCATCCTGCCCAAAGAAATGTTGGAAAGGTATCGTTTCCCCCATTCTGACGAAGATAATGCGTCAAATCGACTCCATGATTAGAGCAGAGAGAGCAGAGGAACCACCTACCTCTGACCAAGACGTTGACCGCGGACGGTCTGGTCGACAACGACGTCTTCGATGTGTCCCACCTGAATGATCAAAACCAACAAAACCTTAAGAGTCAGGAACAACAAAATTGCATCCGCTAGGACCATATCCTGTCCATTCGTCGAAATTTAAGCGGTAGGTTCACGTCTTAACCTTGCCACAGTTCCTCGCCAACTTCAGTTCAACGAGGAGGGTTGCCGTGGCCACTATGGCCTGCTTTTCGACATCTGCGAAGCATCAACACCGCAACGTTGAGAGAGACATATTTTCCCCTGGTAGTTGAACTTTCACGATCATTTGAGAATACTTCAGAGAGTGGCAAGAAGAAGACAGGGGCCTTGACCCGATAGCAGGAAAGCATATTCGTCCTCGTATTATGTTCTCTTGATGCTATAGCAAAAACTGTTCCACGCGTTATCGAGGAATGAAAGGCGCAATACCTTCTATGACCACGACGTGATGAAAATCCCCCAACTTGCGCATTTCTTCCACTCTCTCTGCGACGCCAACGGCTCACTTGCATTAGAGATTATGATGCGCTAGACCAGCTACATTTTCTGAATGGATGGGATGAATTTTCATATAACATACAGAGTAAAACTTTAAAAGAATTGGGGCCAAAGTCGTATCAGACTTGTGAATGCTTCTTCGGAGACATCTCCGACTTTGGTCAGCTGTTCCAAAAGCTTCAAGTGGCCTGTTTCACGACACGACCACTTCCACCATTATTGCGAGAATTGAAGCTGCGAATCCGACTACTTGTCCGAGAGAACGGACCAGAGAGAGAGAGACAGAGGAGAGACCAGCATTTCCAAACGAGAGCACGTACTCTACCTCGAGAATCGTATGCGCACACAGGAAAAACTTTTTTAAAAAAGAGAGCTCCAACTAGTCACGTACGTCGAAATCTTGTCAGGACGAAATTCAGGATGACAGAATCTAATGTCCAGAAAGACAGAGGGCACCAGTGATCCACCTTTTCTGAAATCGGAGGGTTCAAGATCACGGACGACGAACGGGTGTGGCAGATCGCCCAGCTCCATCGTCGTGTCCTCCTCCTCAACCTGACAATTCAAAACCCCGCAACCACCACAGCCACAGCAGCAGCAAATTGGATACACCACCAAGCGACTCACAAGGCTCCGACAGAGTCACACCCGGCAGCGAACGCGCGCGCTCACGCTCGCTTACATTCAACGTTTCACTCTCCTCAACAATTCACAGCGATCATCTTCCTCGCGGTCAAGAAAAATATTGCAATCTTCCTGCACCTCAAGCAACGCAACGCGACTCGACGCAGCAGAATGCAAGTGCAAGCAGCCAACGCACGCACCTCTTCCTCCGAAATTTTCAAGCTCAGAAGCCCCAGGCATGCACCGAGCTCCAAATCTTCGTCCTCGTCGTCGTCCTCGTCGTCCACTTGTTCTACCTCCCCATCATACTCCTCCTCCTCCTCCGCCTCCTCCTCTTCTGAGAGATTCTCGTCGTCGCTCATCAAGACATATGGCTCAAAATTCGCCCGACGCTTTCCGCACTCGCACGACAATTTAAATCGGAACGCTGCGACTGGCGAGCGGCCTATGGATTCATCGCGCAAGTGGAAGACGAAGGAGGAGCAGCAGCAGCGGCGAACGCGAAAACGAGAACGGGAGCGGTCGTAAGATGAAGATTCTGAGCAGTCATTCGTCGGGAACCTCGAACGCACGAGTCACATGACGCCAATGACCGCGCCACTCCCTCTCTGTGAGCTCCGCTCCGTTCCTCTCCGTTCCATTCCGTTGCCCTCCCTCCGTCCGTTCCCATTCCCATCCCAGTCCAAGGCCCTTCTCTCGTGGAAACCGAGGCGCTTACACTCTTTTGTATTATTCGACTTCATTTCGTTATCCTTGTGACTTGTTTCCGGCAATATTTTCTGGAAGGCTCGTGTTTCGTGTTACGTAATGAGTTAACGTTCTGCGGCTTGTCCAGAATCTAGCACTCCCCTTTGAGGATGGCTCTTGGCTTTCGGCACTGACTTTTGACTCCTCAATGTTGTTTTCTTCTATGATCGGAGATGACTTATGCAGTCTCAATTTGAATTGTTCTCTACAATATTTATCGATTTCAGTGATCGGGTACAGTGTTTTTTTCAGTTTATAATTGGCGATTTTTCCTCAACTATAATATGAAAAATTCCTTGAAAAATTCCGAATTCGGAATTTTGGGAATTTTCCACTTGTTGCTGCCATGCCAAACAACTAAACCATGTTGTGAAATTGAATGATATGAATGGAGTATGAGTATGTTTCAATGATACTTTAATCTCGTTTATTTTTAAGGTTGTTATTATGACACATGATTAAATTTTGGATTTTTAATATGAAAGAATTTGAAGCTATTAATAACAATATTGAATTGACATATGATAACCTGTTATATTTTAAAAAGTATGAAAACATATCACCAAATTCTGATTTATATACAATTGACTATAAATATGTAATAGCTGGTACTTTCATTCACAAGAAAGTATAATGTTTGGTTGAATACATGTCATATTTTACAAAAATAAATCATATAATACATTTAAAAAATGATAAAATCAAAAGGTAGAGTCTAGTTATCTCTTAGTTTAGGTTAATTATCTCTCTTGCTTCTATATAATACGGAAGAGAGGTTTAATTATACTTCATTCTACTATATTGTACGGAAGAGAGGTCTGTTATTAATAAATTAAAAAAAAAATGGGTGGATGGAATACCACGATTGGTATCGCGACATTCTGTCATCACACACGGGACTTCAATTTTACCCATTTTTGCACTTTCAATGCAAGTGTCTCGTTGCTTGCGTGGCTTTTGAAAAGAAAGCTCAAAAACTCATTCCAATGTACTTCAAACTGAATGTTCATCCAAGCACTAAGGACGGGATTTGATCCATAGGCCAAATATTAGTCTAGATGTCCCTGCAAATTACTAAAAGTATTAGTTCATGCAGTGAGGATTTCATGAGTTCTCTGTGATATTTTCCCATTTCACCCATCCATTACAAGCAATAGTAGTCGTATATCCCTGCAAAGACTATATCCCCGTCCACTCCTGGTATTGAAAGTATTTTTGTTTCTTTACGACCAATCACATAACTCTCTTCTATATTCTGTAGAGTATAGTAGGGTGATGGATAATCAACCTAAACTAAAGAATAACTAGCTGTTTCCAATCAAAACTATATATATACTTGATAACATTAGTTTGATCTAATACCTTTTAGAATCTTTCAGCTTCTAGTATTTCTTGAGTACTTAAAATTTCATATGAATTGAAGCAATCCAAGATCTTACTATCTAAATAATATCTTCAATTTCAAGAAAATCAAGAATATGTACATTATGTAATTTTAAATACAACATCATTTTTTTCTAAATTAAAATATGATATGTTGATGTTATTGAAACTAATAAAATTTAAAGAATTTGAAATTAATTATTTTTGAAATTAAATTTACAAAAAAATTATTCTGATTGATTCTCCATTTTGTAACAAAAATTGTTCAATCTTTTATTGTCATTCATTTAAAAAATCACGAAGAATTAAAAATAGAATTAAGCCAATTCTTGGATATTAGTTCAGATATATTTTGAAATTATGATAAAATATTTTATATCATTATACTTCAAATTGATTCAATCTAAATGCATAATAGTGGACTAAAAATATGAAATTGATTATAGAAATAATAATATAGTAATATCAATATATAAAAATTTAATAATAAGATGTAAATGTATGATATTATGTTTTTTTTAGATAACATAGTATATAAAATATTTAATTTTTTCTAAAAAAATCAATGAGTTACATTTATTTGTTTAATATATATCTACATATATCTGTAATGAAAAGAAGATAAATAATTGTTTACACGTTATTGATTTAAATTTATTTCAAAATAATTAAACATTTGTTTTGGACAAGTTGTACTAAGATCAACATCAAAATTTGATAATTTGTATATCACAAAACATACAAAATGAATAGAAAATAATGTGTATTACTTTATTTTATATAAATTTATATAAATAATTAATTTAAGTATATATATGCAAACTCTAAAGCCGAGAAAACATAAAACATTCATAAGAGACAGATGTAACATGGTTCACACTCGGAGTATGAGGGTTACGTCCACGGGGAATAGCTTCGTGATAGTATACTGAACACTCTATTTAGTAACACACAGACCCTGGGTATAGATACCCAACAACGGCTACCACTTTCAGCTATAAATAGCTAAACGTGAGGTTATTCCTTAACCGGAGTTAAACTCAACAATCTACCCCTTAACTCTTGTTAAGGAATGTCAATAACCTCTCTAACCTATATTATTACTCCGCGGAAAATTCTAGACGAAAACCTAACACAGTGTCTCTCTTTAAACGAGAGTTAACTAGAACTAAGTCATAGCAATAACATGATAGAGTAATAATATACAGAGTTAAATCAACAATCTCACCTTAACTCATGTCAAGGAATTTAAGTCACATCTCTAACCTATATTATTATTCTCATAACATGATAGAATAATAATATACAAAGGTAACACAACAATCTCACCTTAACTCATGTCAAGGAATTTAAGTCACATCTCTAACCTATATTATTATTCTCATAACATGATAGAATAATAATATACAAAGGTAACACAACAATCTCACCTTAACTCATGTCAAGGAATTTAAGTCACATCTCTAACCTATATTATTACTCTCATAACATGATAGAATAATAATATACAAAGGTAACACAACAATCTCACCTTAACTCATGTCAAGGAATTTCAGTCAACTCTCTTACCTATATTATTACTCTCATAACATGATAGAATAATAATATACAAAGGTAACACAACAATCTCACCTTAACTCATGTCAAGGAATTTCAGTCAACTCTCTTACCTATATTATTACTCTCATAACATGATAGAGTAATAATATACAAGGGTAACACAACAATCTCACCTTAACTCATGTCAAGTAATTTCAGTCACCTCTCTAACCTATATTATTATTCTCATAACATGATAGAGTAATAATATACAAAGGTAACTCAATAATCTCACCTTAAGTCATGTCAAGGAATTTCAGTCACCTCTCTAACCTATATTATTATTCTCATAACATGATAGAGTAATAATATACAAAGGTAACTCAATAATCTCACCTTAAGTCATGTCAAGGAATTTCAGTCACCTCTCTAATCTATATTATTATTCCCATAACATGATAGAGTAATAATATACAGAGGTAACTCAACAATCTCACCTTAACTCGTGTCAAGGAATTTCAGTCACCTCTCTAACCTATATTATTATTCCCATAACATGATAGAGTAATAATATACAGAGGTAACTCAACAATCTCACCTTAACTCGTGTCAAGGAATTTCAGTCACCTCTCTAACCTATATTATTATTCCCATAACATGATAGAGTAATAATATACAGAGGTAACTCAACAATCTCACCTTAACTCGTGTCAAGGAATTTCAGTCACCTCTCTAACCTATATTATTATTCCCATAACATGATAGAGTAATAATATACAGAGGTAACTCAACAAAACTCCAAATGTTCTTCCCATGCAAAACCTGTGTTGTGGCACAATGTCGCTTGAATCTCTCCAAAGTATCAACTTTGGTCAACACATATGTTGGATTGAATTTATCGTCAATCTTGACTAGCTCAATCATGTGCTGATAATCTCCACCAATACTAGTGCTCTACTTTCTTGATCATTAATCGTACAACAATCAAACTCCTCCACAACCATATCCGTGAGTGGATCATGACAAAAAGCTTGAGAACTCTCCACCTCTTTCAATGACCGAGGTCTCATTGAAAGAAACATCGCTTTTCAAAAACATGAATATTATCGTCCCAGATATTGCGACATAATCTTTCAACCTAAGTCTCCTTGACGTCTTGACAGATCTGTCTAGTTTGTTTGTCACGTGTCGCCCGCACCCGCTACCGTCACTCATGTCTGTCGGCAGTGACCGTTGCCCATGACTAATCATTGACTGCCGCTTATGTCGCCCGCAACTGAAACACCGTCGCTCGTGACTTGTGTCGCCCTCGAGCCTCGAGTCTCAAGTTGTCCTCAAGACTTCTGTCCAATTGTCGAGTGTTAATTGACTGCGGTTTGTCTATCTGCCGCGGTTCGCCGCTTATCACGGTTAACTACCTACCATGGTTGGTCAATTCTACCATAGTTACCTCCGACCACAATTGATCACCCTAACGTGCTTAATTCGATTGCAGTTTCTCTACATATCGCAATTTTACCGCCGACCGTGACCGCGACTAAGACCATCGGAAAAGCATTCCCGTCTTCGTTTGATATTCGTCACTTGACCACCGTTAGCCGAACTGCCCAAATTTCCTCCGTTTCTGCCCGGACGACCCACTAGTGCCTGAAGTACCTTACAGGGCTGCTTGCCAAGTGTAAACCGCATCATGCCAAACCGTGGTTGCTTGTCGACCACGGTTGCTGCACCTACGGCGGTTGATCCGGTTAACCACGTTCGTCCAACCAACCAAGGTAGCTTGTTTTTAAACTAAATCCTAAACACTTTCAGTGAATTCTTGCGACTACCCTGCACCAGACGGTCATTAGCACGCTCGGCCACCGCTCCCACAAAAACAGAAACCTCCGAGTGGCGCTACTCCTTGCTGCGCGGGAATGTTCA